TAATTATGGACCCAATATGCCTCGCACCTGCTGGTTGAGGAGGTCTGATCCAGGGCTGGTGAGTGGACTGGGAAAGGCTCAGACCTGGCCCCTGCCCCAGCCTCAGTCCCAGTGCTGGTCTCATTGCTCTGTAGGCCCCTGTATTATATAACTTTTTTCCTGGAAAAGATCTGGTGGACCCAGCAAAAGGAATCTAAAAGGAATTTATAACTATCTCTTAGTTTTAGTTGTTGAACATCCAGAAGATTGATAACAGTACAGTACAGTAGTACAGGCAGTAAGCTTAACATAGAACATTAAATGGCTATTAAGCATGGGTGTTTTAACATTTGAGCACTGAAGAAATTTGTGACATTGTTTGAACAGCTCACTATTTAAGCATCTCTAAGCATTACATAAATTTTTGTTTAAAAATTATTATTTGACTGGTAAGCTCATGTTGATGCGATCTGAATCTCCTGGCTGGTCTGGATCTGAAAGAAAACAGTAGTCATCATAAACAATCCCAATTTTATATTTGAAGGCATGAATATACCATCAGATCAGCACAATGAATTGTCTTAGTCATATGAATGTTAGTTGAAGTGTCTCCCATAAGGCTATGGAGGTTATTGGGGTCTCCAATTAATGAACAAGAGCTAGTTAAAGTTACCAGGTGGCCACTTTCTTATTTGTCAATTGGAGTCCTATCCAATGTCTCCTCACCCCAAGGGATTTTGTTTAACCAATTTTAGCACCATTTTGACCAGCTGGCAACCCAGGTGGAAGCATATTCTTTAAATCTATAACCCAAATAAACCTTGATTAAATGATCTGAAAATATAAAAGGGGAGGAAAAATTGTTGGCTCAAATAAAAAGAAACAGCTGTTTACAGAGCAGGCAAGTGGACAGATAACAAATAAATGGACTGACAAATGTTATAAATTTAGAGTGTACTCAAATATATTTGGCCAATTTGAACTATAATAAACAGACTAGTGTGAACCTTCTTGTAGATCAATTAATAGAGATCTCTTGAAATAAGAATAGCAGAAAAGGAACCTAATTTATGGCTAATCTGAGATAGCTCAGAAAGTTAAAAAGGAACATAATATTTTGGGACCAGCCTGTTCCCAAAGCAGTAGAGATCCGTCCGGCAGGTATGTGTGGGCAATCAACATGGATGCTGGCAACCATCTGGCCTGCCAGAAGGCTGGAGTGCCGAGTATAGTGAGCTGGCAGAGAAAATGGCGACGCAGCAGAAGGAGACAAAGAACCCTCAGATGGGACAGAGGGCTCGGGCGGGAGGGATTGAGAAATTGGAGACTGGGGAAAGAAGCAAGGGGAAGGATTAGAGATCCTAGTGGGTGAAGGGGGAGGAGAGGACAACGCAGGGGTTTCAGTCTTTGGCTGAAAAAGCTGTGGGGTTTGGTATGAGAGATACAGGGAGAAGCTGTAAAGACAGGAACCACACCCTAAATGTGGGGAGGGGGACAGATCTTGGTAGAGCAGAGTGAGCCAGAAGTATTTGGGCCATCACAGAAGACAGAGTGAGAGAAAGATGCATTCTTAAAAGTGAAAAAGGCCTAACGATGAAGGGTTTCTGCCAACTTGTTGCCACTGTGACAAAAGCATAAAAGATCAGCTTTTTGGTTTTTGGTAGCCTTTTAGAGGCCAAGAGCACCAAGGTTATGAACCCGGCACCCCAGAGGTGTGGTTTATGGGGTACAGGAAGCGGTCCCCATGACTGAATTATAAGTGAGCTGAGAGAACAACTTCACCTCTGGAAGTAAGAGCTGTAGCTCCCCCCAAGGAAGGTGGAAGCTGTGTTGGATCAACACATAACAAAAAGATCGTCACCTATTTTGAAAGTGTGACATGGAATGTCCCAACACTCATTCTCTTCAGCCTGGTCACTGAGGAGCCCGGGGCGGGGCCCCAGTGAGCAAAAATGTCAGTCTCACCTGAGCCGTGCAGCCTGAGGAGCGTGAAAACTGCTATCCCTGTCCGGGATGGCAGGGTGGGTTTTCTGTCGCAAGCTTGCTAAGAAATGGAAACAAGAGTGCTGGTAGCCTGGAGCTGAGCGCACCTCTCATTTCTGTGACTTCTTACTGAGGACTGCAAAGGATTCTTCCACATCCTCAAGCATCGCAATGGAGACAGTGGCTCACGTTGGGTAGAACCTCTATGGGTACAGACAGTATGGCAAAGCATTCAGTATGCATTTCAGTATGCTGAAAATAAATCCTATCTATCTATGTAAGCAATTTGCTATGTTTTCAGCTATAGTAGTAGCTTTTGTGTATATAAACGAATTTGCTCTGTAGAAAAACTCTATATGAGAAATGAGTAAGTGGATTTGTTGATAAATTCTCACTTTCTAAACATAAAATATCCACACTGGGGAAAAAACTATGAACACGAGGAATGTAGAAAAATTTCCACAACCAGAGAGATTGTGAATGAACTACTATGTGAATGAACTCCCTGTGTGTAGTAATTCTACGCATTTGAACAATGGTGGATAGCATTTCGTGCACAAAAATCCATTCAAATAGAGGAATCATGTACTGTGTGTTCAGGCTATATGGAAAATATTTGCTGTAGTGTTTCCCTTTTGCAAGCAAATGATTCCCCTCACAGTGGAGAGTAACTGCACATAAGAAGTATTTGGCAAATTTGTGCTGACAGAGGTGCTAACCTTATGTGAGGAATGTCATACTAAGCCTATGTATGCAATGTGGGAATACATTTGGTATTCATGGTTGTTATCCAATATGTGAAAATAATCATAATTAAGTAAAATTATACATATATAAGTGACTTTGGTAATACTTTGAAAATTACTCATGTAGAAGGGACATGTAAAAATAATATAAAATTATTGCTCTAAATATATGTTCACAGATACTTTTTGAAAACTCCCTCAAACAGTTATCCTAAAATGTTGTTTCTTTTTTTATAAATCACACATAAATGTTTGATCTCTTTTTGTAGTCTTAATAGAAAATACAGTCTTTAAAGAAAAAAAAAGAAATGGAAACAAACAAACAAACAAAACCCTCGGATGGCAGCTCACCTATGTGGAGTGAGGAAGGTGGCTGTTGCATGTGGATTAGCGGTGGCAAGCAAACACTCCTGGAGGAAGAAGAGGTGGCTCTCAGGCAGGGGGACTCAAACTGGGAGGGATTCCCAGAAGCCCCTCACTCTGCCTTCCTGGTTGGGAAACCAAATGATAGGATTTTCAGTGTGGTGAAAGAGAGAATATAAAGTAAAAATGGCTATTATTCTAAGAACACAGAGAGAAACTCCATGACCACTGGGGGTCAGGCTTTCTCTGCCAGAAACATGGTGTGGGGGGGTATACATATAGCTTTTGACTGTGGTGGTGATTAAAGGTGGCATTGCTGATGTGTGAGTAGCTGACTGAGACTCTATTCGAGCCACAGGTAAGTTGTATAGGGGCGGGGAAAGTGACCTCAAGGTAAATGTCCCTTGGTCCCACCTCTCACTGCCATAATGTCCTATCTAGTGCAAAATCTTTTCATCCATGACATGTAGCAATTCTTCACTCTTCTCTGTTGTCTGCATTGTTTCAATAATCTGTAATCAAAAGAAACAAATACTGTGAAATCAAACTATCAAACTATTAATTTGATCTATATTATACAAAATCTGTTTCAAATTTATCAATAATTGAAGTTCACCAATCGACTTCTTAGAATATTTACATTAATTACATATTTATTGTTTGTATGTTCCTAAAAAAGTTTCAAGTACATTCCAGATTGAGTATTTGCATTTTGAAGACTTTTTTTCCATCGTTTTTGAGACAAGGTTTCACTGTGCAGTTCAGGCTTGGCTTGAACTCACTGGGGCCCAGGACGGCCTCAAACTCACACCAATTCTCCTCCCTTCACCTCTGGAGTGCTGGGATTACAGGCGTGTGCCACCGCACCGGTTCAGTTTAAAGAGTGTTAAATGGCTAGTTTGAATCTTTAAAACTCACAGCAGCCCTGGGCTCCCTCCTCGTTCTCTCTGCTTCACTCTTGTAACTGCCTCTCGTACATAAAATACACGAACTCAGTGAAGAAGGGAGGCCCTTACCTCACTTTGTTCTTGCTGTTTTTGCAGTGTCCAGAACATAGAAGGCACTTAGTAAACCACTTATTTTATTTTTTTTTTCAAATCCATTTTATTTCAAGGAGAAAAACAAACAAAAAAACTAAAACTAAATTTCAAAATATGTCAATCAGGGGCAACAATGGTACACACATTATACACTATCATCTCCAAACCATTCACCTGGAGCACAAGACATCTGCATTCAATTTTCCGAACAGTACTAGCACAAATCTTTCTCTTTAGTGAACTCAGAGAAATCAGTAAACTATCTTAGTTTTTTAATATACATACACACACACACACACACACACATACCTATGTTGTGTCATTCAGCTTCTCACACTAGTGAGACAATAGGATATTTACACGTGTGTATTTATTTCACTTATGAATATGGTCTCAAATTGTATTTATTTACCTATAAAAAGCCTATAGTTTATCATTCTTTATGGCTGAGTAGTACTCCTTTGTATAAAAATACATTTAGGTTGTTTTCCATTATCTAGCTATTACAAATTGTGCTACTATAAAGATGGGTGCACATATATCACTGTGGTATAATATTTTTAATTTTTTGGGAAGATACTCAGAAGAGGAATAGCTGGGTCAAATGAGACCTCTAGTTCTAGTTTTCTGAGGAATCTCCACACTGATTTCCCCAGTGGTTGCACCAGTCTGCATTCCCATGAACAGGAAAAGGGTTCCTTTTTCCCCACAGCCTCTCCAGCATTTGATATTGTTTGATTTCTTGATAATAGTCATTCTTTCCACTGAGGTGGAATCTCAGTGTTGTTTTAATTTGCATCTCTCATATGACCAAATGATGGTGAACACTTTTTTACATATTTATTTCTTCATCTGAGAAGTGAACCACCTAGTTTAAAACCCTCAAACATTCTTGTTCAAACATGGTTTTATTTCTAAAATGAATACAAATTACATCATCAGTCATCTACAATGATTAGCAACTCTGACATGATTCTCAGCTGAGATCACGTCCATCAACACCACCACAGTGTCTCATGTCCTTGGAGGAAAGTCAAGAGAGAGACTATATAGAATGCATTATGCTAACAATTGGTTTGAGTGATTATACTTTACAGCTAACAGTAAGTTATCTAAGTGCTGCTCTTATCAATGGACAGGAGTGAACAAAGGGTTTAGCTCACACAATTTCTTTTTGCTGAAGGAAATACCTGTTACAAGGCTGAGATCATAAAGGGACAATTTTATAACTTTATGCTACATATATTTAATTGGTAATATATTTGGATTCTAGTTATAATTCTGAGAATTAGAGTCAAGACAACAACTGAAATCATGGGCTAATATTTATTTTAATCCTCATTTCATACCTCCTTTGGGCTTCCTCTATTTTAGTTATCTTTCATTTAAACCACAGCCCCCTCAAAAAACACTTTCTCAAATTTGTCCTGACTAGAGCTGGAGAATTCAGTCTTTTGGTTTCTCATGCATTGTAAGGTAAGAGAATGAACTATGAATTGGTAGAACTTAGTAAGTAAAGTACTATCCTGCACTAACCACAGAATAAACCACAATTTTCATAAACTAGAATTTCAGTAAGTGGTACAGAAAGAAAAAAAACCAGCCATCACAAGACACAGAAAACTTTGGAAACTCTGTTTGAAGAAGAAACTTCAAAAATCAGCAATTAAAAAAATGATTTTTAGCCCTTGCAAAAATTCTCCTGTTGACAGCAATTCTTAAATGTAAGAAATGACACACATATGTATAGGCACACAAGACACAGAGACACACAGACAACTAAATATAGGTGAGCCTTAGTCTAGTAATTTCTGCTTATCCTTGGAGATTTTTTTTTTCTTTTTGGTAGGACTGTGAACTGAACCCAGGGCCTCAAACATGGTAGGCAAGCACTCTACCACTGAGCTACAACCCCCTCCCCAACCCTCCTCATACCTCCTCAGGTTTTATTTTTAATTTTTTTTTTTTTTTTTGTCTTTTTCCTTTTTATCGGTACAGGGGATCGAACTCACGACTGCCTGCTTTCAATGCAGGCGCTTATGCCGCTGAGCTAAATCCCCAGCCCCTCTCAGGTTTTATTTCTGAAAAAACATTTTTGGTGGTATTGGGCATTCAGGATGGCCTATCACTAAACTACATCAATACCTTTTTTATTTTTAGAGTCTTGCAAAGTTGTCCAAGCTGGCCTTGAACTTGTTACGCTGTCTCAGTTCCCAGAATAACTGGGATTTCAAGTCTATGCCAAAACACCCAGTTTAAAATTTTAAGGCAATTAAATTAATTCAACACATCATAACTCATTCAAATGAAGAATGTTTTAACCCAAATATTTACCAATACATAAACTCTAGAACTGTATTCAAAGCACAGTAATTTTCTGTATTTATTCAATGCTTTCCTTGAGACATCGTTTTGAAATAATAAGAATATACTGGAACTGTACATGTGTCTTATTAAAGCAAAGACTAAGTGCTTCAGGTTTGTGGGGTTTGTCTAAGAAGAACACAGCTTCTAAAGCCATCCAACTTCCAGTGCTCTACTGTTCGTTCAATAATCTTAGCAATCACTAATTCAGGGTCCAAGGTGTTTCTGACCTTTTGAGGAATATCCAAGCATTAATCCTGAGTATACTGTGCTCACTATTCTACTCTAGAAGCTGGCTCCTGACTTCTCCCTCAACCTCCTACAGATGGCTGTAAAGAGTCAACCCTCAAAACACAAGTCAGCCCTTGGCACTCAGAGAAACACAATGTGCTGGCCGAGGCTCGCTCTCACTTTCAGTTCTGTCCTTCATGAGCCCCTATTACAGTCAGTATCCCGCCCTTTCAGAAATCCTGACACAATCAGTCTGGGCCGTCCTGGGCCATCTGTGCTGGTGCTTCCACGTGCAGCATGCTGAGCACAGTACACAATCCCTAAATTCCAGAGATACACGCACGTGTGTTAGTCAAGTGTCGGCTTGATACTCCAGAAATCGCCACAAGATAATGTGCAAAGTTTATATAAAACATTAAGATTTACACTCCACTATGATTATGAATCCAAACAAACTTTATTTGAAGAAATGTGGGTATTTCCTTCAAAGCCTAATAACAACTTTAAGAAGAAAAGAATGGGGAAGGTGGATCCCTAGGAGCCAGGAAAGATCAGAAAAAGTTAAGAGACAAAACATAACACATTTTAAAAAGAGAGAGAGAGAGGGCAAACTGAACTTTCTGCCCAGCTGCTGACCTGAGAGGGGAATCAACTCTACACACACAGTGAAAGCAGCTGACTCCGAGGCCTCCAGGGAGAAACACACCCACGGAACACCGCCGTGGATAAACCCATGTACCACCACAGCTGGTGTGTGACTCTGTCCGAGACCAAGGTGCCCTGGAGAGGGTGCTTGGCCTACTGCCATTTTAGGGAGAGGCCAACTGAACCTGAGACCTAAGAGCAGCTGAGGGCTGGCTTCCTCTCAGGTCTCCCAGTATCAAAATCCCAGTGACCCTATGGGAGAAAGGACAATCACATCTTCAGAGTCAGAGAGCTGCGGGCAAACAGGTAAGAGGCACCCAGAGTGCTGTAGGCTGAATAACTCAGGTCTCAACCCAACAACATCAGCCTGATCTTCTGTGGAGTTGAGAGCACCAAAACTGGTATCCACCCTAGTCCTGCTGCAGGCTTGCTGGGATTAGCCAGAATGGATCAGGGCTCTGTCTGACTCTTGATCCATTGTCTACCAGTGACAGCAAAGACATACCCTGAATTGGACCCTTCCCTAGAAGAAAAATCTCAGGCTTGAAATCACAGAAAAATATGCTTGTCATTATAGTTTTCATTTTATTTTCTCTTTTATTTTTTGTTTTTGGACACAAGGTCTATGTAGTTCAGAACTATGTAGTTAACCTTGAACTCACTACATAACCCAGGCTGACCTCAAACTCTTGGCATGGCAGTCCTCCTGCATCAGCCTCTGGAGTGCTGGGCTTACAGGTGTATATCACCACACCCAGCAAAAAAGTCATTTTTTTCCTTTGCTTCCCCCCTTGATTTCATTTTTTCATGAGTAAATATTATTTTTAGTTTGTTTTGTTCTTGTTTTTGTAGTCCTTCTTTCTTTATCTTTTTTACCAGTTTTCCAAAGCTTTGGTAATCTTCTATTGACCTTCTTCTAATCTATTTCTGTATTTTTTTCTCTTATCCCTTTTTAAACTTTTTCCTCAGAGTAAACTTACTCTATTGAGCAGATATTTCCTATATACAATTTTCTGATTTTAGATTTTCTTAGTTATAAAATCTTGTACTGATAAAGATGGCAAATTAATAGTTATCACAGCTTGTCATTTTCTAGACTGTAACCAAGTAGTACATGTAGTACTTCTGATCAATTGTTCTTAGTACACCTACCCTGGGATTGACTGGGGGTTGCAGACAATACCATAGTCCACCATCAAAGAAATGGGTGCTAGGCCAAATGGGCAGCATCTTCTCATCCCTAATAAACTGAAGAGGTAAGACCTTCAAACAATTTAAAAGTAAGCTATTCATTTCCTAAGAAGGTCTTGATACTAATGATAAACCTACTTATCATAAACAATTTACAAGCATCAATGCAGAAAACATTTTTAAAAGAAACAAAATGAGAAAATGCCAAAGCAAAATATAATCCCAGATCTCCAGCTCCCATAGGGCAAATCCAGGAGGTATTGAAGTAAAAGAAATCAAAAGGGTCCTAGCTGACCTTTCTGAAATGCAGCAGCAGAAGTAACAAAGTAAATGAATGAGTGTCTAGAAAAAAATCAGAAATAATTCCACAGATAACCAAAGAGATGACAACCATAAGGATGGCTAGTGAATCTAGAGCAGGTAGATACAAAAAGTACAAGAGCTTAGGAAATCTAGAAGACAGGACTGCAGTTAGTAATTTACATTTACTCCGTTCAGGGCCAAATCCCACACTGGGAGAGTATTTTCTGCATACAGTTTTCTGGATTGTTTTAGATTTTGTTATCTGACTACAAGTTATATAACATGGTTAAAGGTGGTAAGTTAATAGTTACCAGTTTATCATTTTCTAGGCTGCACTGGATGCTATTGCTATTACTGATTTTCCTATTTCATCTAAGGTGACAGTTATTCTTTGTATGCTAAGACCTAAATTGCCTGAGGGTCATAAGCAATAGCATAGGACAGAGTCAAAGAACCAGAGGCTAGGCTAAATAGGCAGCAACATCTCGCCTCTAATAAATTAAAGAGGCAGAACTCTGCAGTACTCAAAACCCAGAACTCAGCTACACCTGGAAGACATCCCTGAGAAGTAGTCATTTCCTAAGGGTTCTCAATACTAATAACAAAACTACCTACCATAAACCATTTATAAACATCAATACAGAACTTAAACTAAAAAAAAAAGAGAGAGGACTTGGAAACAAGATAAAACCCCCAACTGCCAGCTTGCCAAAGGCAAATCCAAGGGGCAATGAGATTGAACCACTCAAAAGCCACCCATCTACACTCTCTGCAGTGGAAACGGTCGAAGTAACAAAGCACATGAGTGAAGCTCTAGAAAAAAATATCAAATCAATTTCTCAGATAACCAGAGATGATGACCATAATGAAAGACATAATTAACACGCTATAGCAAACAGAAACACTGAAACAATAGCCAGGCTCTGGAGGCAGATTTAATGTCAGATGGGCACTGACAAGGAATCAATCCTTATAAAAATGTCAGGCTACACAGGCCCAGGAAGGGAGGTTTTAATGGAGCTGGTTGCAAAGGGAAAGTACGGAGGCAGAATATTTGGCTGTCTTTGATTGTTCTTATAATATGCATCACAGTGACCAGCTACACATCACAGTGACCAGATGTTTCTAGAAGACACTAGTAACAGGAACTGAAGTAAACTAGAGGCTGCCCGGACAACTAACAGACTGGCTGGGGGACATTTTCTGCTACCAGCAAATTTAGAGTAGATACAGATTTTTTAAAATAGAAGATCTTAGAAAAATGATGGAAATTATGAATGCTCAGCATTGGAAAGAAATAAAATCCATGAAATGGATACTTAAAAGATTAAAATCTATTCAAAGTATACACAGCAGACTTAACCAATGTGAGGACAGAATACCATATATAGGACAGAGGTTTGTAGTTAGTGTTCCTGAAAAGAAAAATTTCTTAAAAATAGCAAGGGGCCATGAAAAATCAATCCAAAAGCTGTTAGATAATGCAAAGAATGTAAGATTGATCAGAGTGAATGAAAAATCGCAAGAGATAGCACAAAGGACATAAGAAACCTGCTCACAGAATATGAAATTTTCAAAGCATGGACAAAGAACTTGATATACAGATGAGTAAAATATATAGAACTCCAATTGGCCATGATCAAAGAAATCTATACCCAAAGCACATAATAGTGAAGATTTCAGAAATTCAACACAAAAAATATTAAAAGCTGTTAGAAAAAAGAATACAAATCACATATAAAGGAAAGCCCATCAGAATCACAGCAAACTTCTCAACACAAATTCTTAAGTCAGAGAGAGCTTGGAGTGAAGTATTTTAAGCCCCAAAAGAAAGCAACCACCAACCCAAATTGATGTACAAAACTATGTTTCAAAACTGATGAAGAAATGAGATACTTCCATGAAAAAGAACGCCTAAAGAAATTCATGAACACCAAAGCAGCACTCCAAAATTTCTAAAGGATATTAGAGGAAAAGGTAACGAAGACTATAATTTCACAAACCCCAACAGAATAAATCTACCAAGTAAGACAAACAATTAAATAGAGGGGAAAGAAAGAGAATGAACAACAGAAAAATATGGCTGGGGGTTTACTTCAGTGGCATAAGCGCCTGCCTAGCAAGTATGATCCCCAGTACCAAAAAAAAAAAAAAAAAAAAAAAAAAAAAAAGGGAAAATAAGGATAAGTCAGTATCAGTCATAACCACCAATGTAAATGGTCTCAATTCACAAATCAAAAGAAACAGACTGCCAGAATGGATCAACAAACAAGATCTAACAATGTGCTGCATAGAAAAAAACATGTTTAACAAGAAAAAATTTCAGACTAAAGTAAAAGGATGGAAAACAATACTCCATGTGACAAAAATTCAGAAAAAAGCAGGGATAGCTATTCTATTCACAGAGAAAGTTGATTTCAAGAAAAAAGTGATCAGAAGAGACCAAAAATGTTACTACATATTATTAAGAAAGCAAATCAAAAGAAAGGGATAACAGTCATAAATATATATGCACCAAATACCAGTGTAACCAGCTATAAAAAACAAACATTAATGGATATGAAAAATCAGATATGCACTAGTATAATTGTGATGGGGACCTCAATGCCCTTTTGTTACAAAAAGATCCACTAGACAAAACAAACAAACAAACAAATAAAGACATATCAGCTGGACAAAATCTTTGAAAACATGGACCTAGTAGAGAACTATAGTGTTCTACCCTGGCAAACAACAGAATACACAGTCTTCTCAGCTCCCCATGGGATGATCTCCAAAATAGACCACATACCAGCTCACAGAACATGCTTAAATAAATACAAATGAATTTAAATTATCCCATGCATATTATCAGGTCACAGTGCAGTGAAGTTGGAAATCAATCATAAAAGAAACTAGAAAAACTATATAAACATTTGGAAATCAAATAAGACCTTTCTGAATAACTAATGGATCACAGATGAAATTAAAGAAGAAATTAGACAGTTTCTAAAATTAAATGACAAAAACATACAGGGTAAAAGAATAAAATTAAATGATAATGCCAATATGACACAATGTAACATAGGATGCAACAGCCTTACAAGAGAACCTTATGTTTAAAAAAGGAAAGAAAAGATTTAAATCCATGCAATTTGGAATGAAAAGTAAAAAAATCACAACAATCTTAGAGAAATTCAGATCATCAATACCTACTTCAAGAACTTGTACTTTAAAGTTTTTTTTTTTTTTTTTTTTTTTTTTTTTTTTTTTTTTTTTTGCTACTGGGGCTTGAACTCACGATCTTGCACTTGCCAGGCAGGCCCTGTGCTGCTGAGAGATGTCCCTGGCCCAAGAACCCATACTTTAATATGATGGCAAACCCAGAAGAAAAGAATAGTTTTCTGGATACATATGAATTTCTGAAGTTGAGTTGAGAAGATATAAAAATTCTAAATAACCCATTATCAGTCAATGAAATTAAAGAATTAAAAGCCTACCAACAAGGAAAAGCCCAGGTTTTCATAAATTCACTGCTGAATTCTACAAGAAAGTTAGAGAAGATCTAAGGCCACTATGCCTCAAACTCTTTAATGAAATAAAAAGGGAAACAATATTCACAAACTCTTTCAGGGAAATAATTACTCTGATACCAAAACTAGAGAATGATCCAACCAAAAAACAGAACTACAGGTCAATCTCCTTAATGAACACAGATGCAAAAATCCTTAACAAGATATTGCCAAACAGAATGCAGCAAATCATCAAGAATTTTATACAATATGATCAAGTAATATTCGTAACAGCAATGCAGAGATGGTTCAACATACATTAACAGAACCAAGGACAAAACCACATTATCAACTCAATAGATGCAGAAAAAGCATTTGACAAAGTCAAATTCATGATAGAAAAACACTACAGAAAAATAGGTGTCTTTATCTCAATGATAAAAGATGTGTATGACAAACCAACAACCAACATCATACTAAAATGGTTGAAAATTGAAGGTTTTCATTCTAAAATTAGGAACAAGATAAGGACGTCCATTATCACCACTCGTATTCAATATAGTTCTGGAAACATTAGCTAGAGCAATTAGACAGAAAAAAAGGAATAAGGATCGCAGAGGAAAAAGTTACCATTATTTGTGGATGACATGATACTCTACATAGAAGGCCCCCAAAACGCTACCAAGATTTCTAAATTTAATAACCAAATTCAGTAGCATAGCTGGATACAAAGCCAACACTCAAAAATTAACTGCATTCCCGTACATAAATAACAAACTGAGAAATTAAAGAAACCGTATCTTTCACAATAGTATCAAAAAAAGGGGGAAAGAAACAAGAAAAAACAACAGACAGATTTAGGAATCAATCTGGTGAAGGAAATAAAAGAGCTTTCCATTGAAAACTGCAGTACTGCCAGTCGTGGAGGTACACGCCTGTAAGAGCTTAGGAAGTTGAGGCAGGAGGATCCCAGGAGCTGAGGCCAGTTCAAGTTACAAAGTCAGTTTAAGGCAGCCTGAACGGTATAGCGAGTCCTATTTCAAGAAGAAATGAAAAAAGCTGCAGTCTGAAAAAGGAGGCCAAAGAGGTTATCATAAGACGGAAAACTCTTGTTCTTGATGCACCAATATAGTGAAAATGATCACACTTCTATGTCTCTCACCATGCACCAAACTAAAATAGAAATGGATCAAAGTTCTAAAAATTAAAACAGAAACAATCTTCTGGAAGATAATAGGAAAACTTACAAATAGGTGTAGGCAAAGATTTTATGAACAAAAACCCATACTACAAAGAATCAACAACTGGAGTGTCATCTTGCTAAAAAGCTTTTTACACAACAAAAGAAATCACCAATAGTGTGAAAAGAACCTACAGAATGGGAAAATTTTCTTAGCAGCTGTTCCTTAAAGAACTAATATGTGTAATATGTTAAACTCAAAAATAAGATCCTCCTAATTCAAGACTCAACCCAAAAATGGGTATCTGAAATGAATAGGCACTTCACAAATGAAAAAGTACAAACAGCAAATAAGTAAGTGAAAAATGTTCAGTATCACTGGCCATTTGAGAAATGCAAATTAAAACCTCTCACTGAAAAAGGAGGCCATCAATGGCTGCTATCAAAAAACTCAGTAACAAATGATGATGAGGCTGTAGGGAAAGATGAACACTTATCCAATGCAGATGGAACATGTTGGTAAAACCAGTATGAAAATCAGTAAGGAGATTCCTCAAAACACTAAAACAAGAGGTTCTATTGACCCAGGTGTTTCCTTTCCAGTATTTTCCTGAGTTAAAAGCATCATACCACTATAGGCACATCATACCAATATATGCACACCCATGTTTCTAGCACCAGAATTTGTAATAGCTAAATCTTGGAAACAGCCCAGATGCCCATCAATCAATGAATGGATACAGAAGATACAGTTCTTATATGCAACGGAATACTATACTGTCATTAAGGATAGACTTGAGACCTTTTTAGGTAAATGGGTGTACCTTGAGAATATAATTTTAAATGAAATAAATCAGAGCCACAAGTTTAAACATTGCATTGCTTTTGTTGTGTGAAAAACTCAAAGGGTAAATAATGACCAAAATGGATAGTAGACACTGGGAAGTAAAAATGTTCAAATGGGAAGTGGAACAAGAGACTGGGTGAGGGGAGGAAGGGAATAAACCATTAAAAAAGATATAAAATGGAAAATAATAGAAACAAAGTTTTCTAAAGGAGAAAGGGAAGAAAGGAGGGAAGAGGAATGAAAAAAATTGTTAAATTATGTACAGGTACAAGTTCCTTCTGAGGCATGGGATCAGTATGTATGTCAAACATGTATCAATAAAATTCATCTTTGGGACTTAAGAATATGGCAGCTTGATACGTAGCTGGGAGGAGAGCCTCTCTGGGAAAAACAGCTCAGACGCTGGAATTTGACAACATGGAGAGGGCCAGATGAGGGGAGGGGATTCAGGAGGAAACTGAAGGAAAAAGAAAAACAGGAAGAGGAAGGAACACTGTGAGTGGAGGGCTGGAGCCGGACACGCTCACTGGTTCCGTGCTGTGCTGGGTGCACCGTGGAGTTGGACGATTCAAGGTCATGCTGAAGCCGCAGCCGCCATTAACAGGAGTTGGTGAGCACGGGCCCTGGGTGGGAGGACGCGGCACAGCATGGAGTGGAGCCAAGGTAAAGAACTGCATTAATTCTCAGTGGAAATTGGCTCCCGTGGCAGGTGTGGCCTGCTGGAAGACATACTGGAATTGGGCAGAACAAAGCCTGAGCCCGGAGCTGCAGTTGCATCAGTCAGCTGCCCCTGGCCCAGAGAGGACTAATGGGACCTACTTAGGCTGGGTCATGCCCCTGGCTGGGACCCAATAGCTAGGGGGGAAACTGTCCTGACCCAGTGACGTCCACAAAGCACAGGCTAAGTTGCTGAAGGCACTTGCCAGTTGACTGGCTCAGAGAAGAGGGCTTAGCCCACAGTCCCTGTGTGCACCTCAGATAACAGCAAACTGGAGAGGGCAGCAAGCCCCCAGTCAGCACGCTTCAGAAAAACTGTAAGCAATACAGAGAGGGCCTGAGATCTCTACCACACACCTGCCTAAAAGAAACCAGAAACACGATGATAGAAATAAGAAAAAACCTCCAGTGGCTGACCCTGGGAAAGTAAGCCCAGGAGAGGTAAATACAGAAGAGAACCAGTGCAGTAATCATGCAATGTTGGCCACAACATCCGCAGACATGAAGAAATACCTTCATGACCTCATAGACCAAATTAAAACTGAAATTTTAACCCAAGTGAGGCAAGATATTAAAAGATTAATAAAAGAAATGCTAAGCCCCTCTTAAGAAGATACAGACAGAAGAAGGGAGGAACCCAGAAAAGGAAAAAGAAACCTTTGGTGAAGAATATAAATAAAAGTCTAGAATACATGAAACGGATCCAAAGAGATTACCAGGAAATTGAAAAAATCCATTGAAAGCTGGCAAAATGCCCTGACAGAAAATAAAGTTAGCTTTTCAAAATTTGAAGATAGATTTGCAATGTGTGATTGTGAAAGAAAAGACCTCTTAAAAATAAAAAGGAACCAGGAAGTAACAAATCAAAGGTTAGAAGACAAGAAGATCTCTAACTTAAGAATAAAAAATGTGAGTGAAGAAGCAGGAGTAACCACAAATGAATTACCAAGGCTATTCACAGAAATAATTAAGGAAAACTTCCCAAGCATAGGAAAAAGAAATGATATCCAAATAAATGAGGCACACAGAACTCCAACCAACCACAACCAAAACAGATCTACACCCAGTCATATAATAATTAAGATCCCAGAAATCTGCAAGAACAGAATATTAAAAGTGGTCAGAGAAAAGCAGATCACCTATAAAGGAAAATTCATCAAAATAACAGACTTCTCAACACAAACTACCAAATCAAGAAGAACCTGGGAGGAAGTAGTTCAAGCCCTAAAAGAAAATAACCTCTAACCCAGATTGATGTACCCTGAAAAACTCTCTCTCAAAATTAATGGAGAAACAAGATGTTTCCAAGACAAGGAGGAACTGTGGGAGTTCATGGCCACCAATCCAACTCTATAAAAAATACTGAAGGACATTCTAGACAGAGAGAGAAAAAAATACCAGGATGCCACCAACAGTGGCAGAGAGGCCTCAATGAACGGGGCAGACAGTGGAATGAAGGAGTAAAGTAGACAAATAATAGCAGAAAAATAGAATAGCAGAGATGAGGCAGAGAAGGTGGGTTATAATCTCTAATATAGGTAGCCTTGTACGTTAACAAAAAGAAACACAGGCAAAGTAGATCAGGAGATAGGATCCATTGAGATGCTCTGAATAGGAAATATATTCAACCTGAAAGAGGGTTAATAAACTGAGAGTCAAAGATGAGAAAACGATGCTCTATGTGACAGGGAACCAGAGAGAAACAGGGACAGCTCGTCCAGCAGCTGCAGATAGGCTGGAAAGTCATGACACTTTTGTGCAGTGGAGAACTACTCAGCTAGGAGGAAGGAAAATCTTGTGGCTTTAGTAAATAAAGGAATACAGCTCAAGATCAAGCTCAGGGGTAAAAAGGTTCAGCGCCAGATAAATAATGGGTTGCCCCCCTAATCTAAAAACTAAAGGAACTAGTGGGACCCAAAATATACAAAGCACCGAGAAAGCGAAAGTTGAGGAACTGCCTAAAAAAGGAAGGCAGAGGACATTGTTAATAGTGTATCAGGCTTTAAAAGCCACATTGGTCTTATCACTGTTTAGTTTGATTTTATTCTGTTTCAGTCCGTCTACTCATACTAGATTTGAGGGCACAGACAGCTATCCCAAAAATAGTACGCTATATTATAACTATCCTTAATTGCCTATTAACTTAAACGAAGGCCCTGTGTTACTTACATTGTTTTTACTATGACTGATCTTATCAGAAGCTGGTTTGTTAGACTGCTGTTTTGTCTTGACTGATTTTATTTGAATTTGATATGCTTGACAATATCAAGTCTAAGAGTAGAGGTAACTACTCTGAAGATGTAATAAGATACCCATTCTGGTTTGATTATTAACTGGTTTTGAAGTCCTATAATGTCTCCAATGTTGTGTTTTTATTAAAATTGCTATGTAAGGCTATGTTCAATTGTATTGTCTGACAATGTAGATAATTCTATTAAAAATAACAAGAGAAAGCATAGTAACTACTGTAGATCACCTAATATTGGTCTTTTTCATTTCATGTTTTTCTAGGAATTTGTTTTGTTGGCTTGTTTTGATCTGTTTTTCCTTATAATATAGAAAGGATAGATATCCATGTAGAGATTCACACATGTGGATAATTTCTAAACAGTTTACAGGAACAGATTATATAGTACATGATGTAATGAAGAGATACTCTGAAGAGACACTAAGATACCCCATGCTATTTCTGTAGCATTATAATATAAAAGCTAGCAATACTATTATTCACTGTTCAGAGCAATTGTCTAGTCTCTTATGTTCAATTTCAGCCTACATAAAGATATGGACAGCTACTTGGAAGAGAATGAGACCTTATGGCGGTCATTATTGACTTCCCCAACGTCAGGTCTTGCAGACCTAAAAGCCTTCATCATCCTGTTATGACTAGATTAGTTCTATAATGTTCAGTATATATTCACTGTGTGTGAAGATGGGGACAACTATGAGGAAGAAAACGAGAGACAATATGACAGACAGTGAAGATCTCCAGTGGACTTGCTTTGAAATCCATGTTTCTTGAAGTTGTTTCCTTATGATCTGTTGTTCTGTTTAATCTTACTCACTTTAAAACAAAAAAAAGAAAATTCATTTTTGAAAAAAACTTTAACATTTCTGATGGTGCCACAGAAACTTTCATTGAGGGGAATGGGGAAAAAATTAAGTTATATTACGTGTAAGGACAAATTTCTTACGAGGCATGTGATCATTATGTACGTCAAATGTGTACCAAAAAAATTCACTGTTAAAAAAAGGCTTAACATTATTGATGGTGGCTTAGAATCTTCCATTTAGCTAACCCACATTGTCCCATACTTTGACCAAGTATCTACCATGACTGAATTTTTAAGTAGTCATCACCTGGCCATGGATCTTTAATGTTGCTGCTTTTCTTTCATGATTTACATTAGGGAACTACATGGTCTAAAGAGTCAAGTAGTAATTCATCTCATCTTTAACTTTCATTTGTATAATTCTTTGCATACTGACTAGAAATATTTTACAATGTACTCATAAAGTTTGAATTAATGAATGTGTGCATTTTACATAAAAAAATTCAAGAAATTTGTAGTACAATTTTTATGATTAGACCTCATAAGTCTGGAGAGATATTTCTGCATTGTAAGACCAATTAAAACTGGAAACCTGAGGTCTTTAAATAAAACCTTAAACAAAAACCTTAAAATGAAGTGATTTGACACTATTTTAACAATTGTTCTGTACAGTACCCTCAACTTCCTGAGACTGGGGTGGTAGGATGAGACAGCCAGGAGGAAGGTGAATTTCGGGGTTTGGTTTCCTGCCTGCTCTCTGTCACTCTGAGTTCTTAACTTCTCCCAGCTCAGCTTCTCAAATTCTAAAATGGGGACACAGCTAGATGCAGTGGCTGAGGTGGAAGGATCACAAATTCAAGCCCAGCTTGGGCAACCTGGTGAGACTTTGTCTCTAAAGGAGAAAGAAAAAGGGCTGGGGGTATAGATCACTGTGAAGGTCTTGGGTTCAAGCCCCACTCCTGCTAAATAAACAAACAGGAAGTTCAGAGCCTATGTCTTTGCTAATCGATAACTACTAGTGCTTAGATGAGTGGGTTACCCTGACGAGACTGTACTAAGACACAGTGAGATACATTGCTGTCTTGGGGTGTCAGAGAAGAGATCCAACACCCTGTGTGAGTTCTTTCCTCACAGCCTACAAATACATGCCATACTGTGGTAATTTTTATTTCTTCTCTCCTTGGGTAGGGACACTGTTGATGAATTTTTAAAAGAACTGCAGTAGGTGTCCCAAGTCACACATATAAGGAAATGCAATGAAAATTACAGACAACATTTCTTTAGAAATATTATGTCCCAAAGATGCTTCCAATGCTTGGTATGTATCGATTTACCATTTTCCTCACAGGATGTCTCTAGCACTCAGTGTGACCACGTGGGGTTGACAGATGAGATGATGAGATCAGTGTCACATGCTTCCCAGGCCCGGCACCCCGACTATAGGGTCCACTCTTGTCAAACTTGCTATTAGGATATCAAGGATACGTGATCTCACGGTAAAGCAGTCACAGAATAAAGAGACCTCTGAGGTACCGTAACTCTGTGAAGTCCTTGGAAAAGCTGAGACACATGGTATGTTTTTCACTTGAAGTAATGGGAACATGGGCTCTGGTGATCCTGAAATCTGTTCTCTGATGCCCTCTATGGAACAGATGAGATGTGGAGAGCAAGAGACACCAGTGTACAAAGGTGCTTTCTGAACTGTAAAGTGCTGTCCCGTCTCCAGATAAACAATGAGAGCAGACCTCCCTGTTACAGGGGAGTCCTATGAGCAGCTGGGTGATCACCTCCAGCGTCTGGATGAGGACAGGGTCAGAAAGCTTGGGCTCAGTTGCAGGCTTGGACCCGCTTGAGGACAGAATCTGTAGTCCAGCACAGGCCTCTGCAGGGATGGAGCCCAGGGCCTTGTGCATGCCAGGCACATACTCTGAGTTCCACCGCTGACTACTACAATTATCTTTTACAACAGGACTGGTTTCCTGGTGCTGAGAGCATCATGCCCTTTCAAATGATGAATGACTGATCCCAGTGGAAGGACTTTTCATCCCACCCTGAACCTTGATGGTGGATTGACAGGCCCGAGGCTAGATCACTATAGCTCGTCTTGGTTGCTTCTTTCCCGTGAAGACACCCACCGACTGAGAATCACCTCCTGCAACCCAGCAAAACACAGAGGTGACTGCATGCCCAACAAGGAAGCGAAGAAATATGCAAAGCACTGGTACCACAGCTCTGCTTTACAAACAGCTGCTGGCCGCTGAGCTGGTGGTCTTGCCATTCCTGGGACAGGAGGTCCCGTAACAGTGGAACCCTACTGTGTGAACAATACCCACCACCAGTGCTGCACAGATGCTTGTTATAGAGGCCACTGAGGACTGAACCCAGCGCCTTGCACTGAACCTTTTATTGCATCCCAGACCTTTTAATCCTTCAGGGCCTAGGGATCCATTTCTGAGGTGCCCTTAACAATGGAACACAATGAAATGTGTTCATTTCAAATTGTTGTTCCTTGAATATTTCTAGATAACATGTACAAATTTCATGCAAAATTCAGAAAATTTCAATCCTTGGCATAAATGGGTTAATTCTGAGACTGAGTCTCATTTAGCTGCCCAGGCCAGCTCAAATTTGTGACCCTCCTGTCTCAACCTCCCAGTAGCAGGGATTACAGGCATGCAAAGATTTTTAAGACTGAACTGGCCTCAGTCCTGTGCTGGCTCAGCCTGGGGAAGGTCGTGGTTTCCATTCTCAGCACAGGAAAAAAACAGTGTTCAAGGGGGAGGAGCCAAGAGAACAGCTCTCCACTTCTTGGCACCACAGGCTCCATTCCAGAGGACACCGTGCAGTGCTTGGGCCATCAAGACACGTTAGTATGATCAGGAGGGACCCACCTGAACCTTAATTCTCCTCAGACATTCTGGGGACTCCATGTCTTCATCTGTCATGGTAGATGGTTTAATCAAGTAGCACAGCATAAGTTCCTGTTGGGGAGGAAAAAGCATTTCCATATCCCACAGTGACAGCACAAACACAGGTGGTGAGCCAGGACACATCTGTCCCCATTGTCTCCTGCTATGACCTGGAGAGCTGGTGCAGAGGTCACTGGAGCATGTCGGGTTTCCCCTGGGAACCTGAAGCCCGTGCCTGGCTTTTCCACTAAGGAGCTGCCACTCAGCAGTCACTGCCAGGGCCAGAGGTACAGTCAGGCAGACACTGAATATGAACAGTGCAGATCTCTACTGCCCTGCAGCCTCAGCCTCCCATTCACCTGCCAACACTGCCAGCAGTGGGGCAGGTGGTCACAGACTGTCAGTTTGCAAACATGGGCGGTAGAAGTCACTGGGGATGGACCTTGTGCAGGCCAAGCAGGTGCTCTGGTCCAGAGTGACATTCCCAGCCCAAAGCTGGAGTTAGTGATCGTCTTAGTATAAGACGAAACTTCTTTCCTGTTTTTGCTAGAAGAGAACAGGAGGCCAGAGGGGCCATGGTCTGGTGTTAGCCACCTGGTGTCTCTCAGGATGAGACAACAGGGTGGCCAAGTGCTGAGCAGTGCATTCCAGTCCCTCTCTCTCTCTTTCAAAGATCTGCAAACTCAGAAAAAACTGCCGCCAACGTTTCAGTTCTTTTGTGAATGTGTAAGTGATGACACACTGTAAGACGAAGCAGCCCATGGAACAGTGACAGCCCAAGGAAGGTGACACCTGTCAGATGCCACAGGACCTGGTGCCGTGCTCCTTAAGAAGAGAGTGAGCAAAGACCAAAATAGAATGATACAGTCCAGTAAATGAGGGGTGCATAAGAGCCCAAGTCTTTCAGCACTTCATGGGCAAAAACATCATTCTATTACAATTTAAAAAAAAGTGCTGCTTCTGTGGCACTCGGAAACCAGGTTTCTGTGGGTTACCTTGGAGACGTTGCCTGAAACTCTGCTAAGCGTTGCCAGCGACTTCCAAGTGAACGGTCTACGGAGGGGGCCCGTGAAGCGCTCATCCACGAGCTCCACAATGACAGAATAGCTGCAAAACACAGGCTGGCTTTGAGCACAAGGCTGAGAGTGAACTCACATCAGATCTTAAATGTACTACATTGGAGCTGAGAAAACACTAATCAAAATCCACAGCAAGGTATAGAACTGCAGGCTGATTTTACACTCGCTTTTACACACACACACACACACACACACACACACACACACAGTTTTTCCTCAATCTGTGAGACTAAAATACCCAGTGATGTCAAAATAAACAATTACCACACAGCGTGACCCCATATTTTAACACAAAAACACACACTGCCATCACCTAATCTGTCTAGACTGTAACAATGTCAGTTTGAGACATGCACTTTCCTTTTTCTGCAGGGCAGGGGATGGTATGCAGGGCCTCACAGTTATGTACTCCGCCATAAGCTGAGCACCAACATTTAACATTCATTCCTATCACAGCCAAGAGGAACATAGCTTTTAACTGTTTCCACAGTGCTGAAAACTGAATTGGAGGCCAGAAATTTCCTTGTATCCTTTAATTCCCTAGGTTTCATAATTAGGCCAAACCTTGCATGGTAGAATGGAGGGCCTTTCCGATACAGCACTGCAAAGAAGAAAAGAAAATGTGTAACTTTTAACTCTAGCATGCAAACCCAACTCCCCACCTCAAGCTCCCCCTGAGCATCACCCCACCGCAGGTGACTCCTGTCTTGCCTCTTATCTTACCCCACACAGGGTAAGAGCATGAGATTCCAAGAGTGTGGTGTCCACACACTGTCTACCAATACTGGCTGCTCACTTCAAACCAAGTGACTTTAAAGTGCCCAAGTGGCCACCCTGGCCGGGTGTCAGGGCCAGAGATAAGACGAAAGCCTATTTCTAAGAAGTTCAGTGTCATGCATAGATTTAAGGAATTCAAAGTCAAGTGGCATTAAAAAAACAAAAGGCCACCAGACATGGTAATGCACATCTGTAATCCCAGCACTCAAGAGGCTGAAGCAGGAGGATTATTGTGAATTCCAGGCCAGTCTGGGCTATATATTTGTGTTCAAGGCCAACTAGAATACATAGCAAGACCTTGTCTCAAAAACTTTTCTAAAAAGTCATTATAACTACTCCCTCTAGCCAGGAATATGTGTGTCCTGCTCTTAAGGCCCAGGCAGAGGTGTGGTCAATTATCTTTGGGGGCAAGAGGGGCTCAGCAAGGGTTTTGGGGCTGGGGCCTCTGCCACTGCCATATGGCAGAGTCTTCTGATAGTTAACTGCCCATTCAATCTGAGTGAGAAAGCCTAGTTGACTGGATTGGCACAGTTCTGGGAGTGACAGGAGATCCACACTGGACGTGAGTGGCACCAGCCAACAGGTAGGTAGAAGGGAAAGAAAGGCTTGCTGTTCTTCAGTCTCTACTGTGCCTACGAGTCATTTCCTGGCTTCTAGCACAGTCCCTTGGGCCTCCCGATACGAATTTGCATGGGCTCTGCAGTGAGCTCTAGGCCTTCCACCTTGGATCCTTGGGTTCTAGAGCATGCAGACACCCTTTTGCGCCCTTCGACATCTGACTCTGGGTGGCCACTGTAAGTCCACCCTGTAAACCCTGATACATTTATATATCTTCCTTCACATGTTAGTCCTCCAGTGAGCACTAATTATACACAGACCAGCTATTCACCAAATCCACTACTGTTTCCTCCTGGGCCCGGGGCCAGAGCACAACTCTACTCCCAAGCAGTCAGACAGGGTGGCCGATGGGTACTACTTCTGGGTTGGGTCCTGAATCCCTTCTAGATGAAGCCTGTGCTGGCCCTTTGTGAAGTGACCTTGGACTCTGCTGGAGACCAGGAGCCACGGGGAAGAGATCTGTGGTCCTGAAGTACCATTTGGTGCTGATGCTTGCCATTGCTAATCCCCCTGCCCTGGAATTGACGAGTGATTCTGGCCATGGGAATCACTATCAGGGCTGCACAGGTCCACCTGCCAGCTCTCAGCTGTTCCCTCATGCTAAAACCAAGCAGGCAGGTTCATGGAAGTTACTTTTTTTTTTTCAAGGAAGTTTCATTTGTCTCAAGAAACTGACAGACTTTCCCTTTTTGGTCAGATGAGTCATGTAGATGATTAGCTGTCCTTCAGGGTCAGGCAAACAACATGAAGCTCAAAGCACGGTGGGGGTACCCCACAGCAAGCACAGCACTCCTTTTGTATTAGCACACCCACCTCCTGTTGTGCCGCTAGTGTGTTTCCCATGGTTATATTTCCTTTCATTCCTGTTTCCCATCTAAGCTGTATTTAAAGTATCCAGAAAATTAGCTCAAAATCACTGTGGCCAGCAAATACTGTACATGCAAACAATTCTCAGCTTCCTGAGATTGGGGTGGTGGAGGCAGATGGTAAGGAAGAAGGTGGATTTCAGGTTTTGGTTCCTGCCTAATTGCTGCCACTCCAAGTTCTTAACTTCTCCCATCTCAGCTTCAAAATTCTAAAATGAAGACAGTCATGTACAGTGGTTGAGGAAAGAGAATCGAAAATTGAAACCCTTCCTGGGCAACTTGGTGAGACCTTGTCTCCAAAAAAAAAGGGCTGGGGATGTAGCTCAGGGCAAAGGTCCTGGGTTCAATTCCCAGGGCTGCTAAGTAAATAAACATTATAGGAAGTTCTGAGCATAATCTTGGCCTCAGAGAGAGATTAAGGCCCCTTTCAGCAGTACCAAGACCATCTGACCATGTCCATTTCCTACAAAACACAAGAGCATGAAGGTCAAAGTATTTGAATGCTGTCTGGAAAATGGTAAGTACTCAATATGACAAGAACTCAGAGGCAAAGATGAACTTGCTTCGCAAAAATCCCTCCTATGTAACAGATGAACGCTTCAGAAGATGGACAATTACTGGGTATTCCACAGTAAGGTCTGAGAGCTCAGAGAGTGGCCAGGAGTGCTGAGCAGGCAAGCACTTTGGTTCTATTCCCCATTGCCACGCCCTCTGCAAAATTTAAATTTAAATTTAAAAAATAAAATAAAAATAAAGACTCAAAGAATGGGGCTGGGGAAGAGTGGGACTAGGAGTGTAATGTGCTTGTTGAGCCATTGCCCAGCACACACGATGCCCAGGCTCCACTCCATGGCCATGTTAAAGAAACAAAAATGAGGGGAGAAAAATCTCACACTTGTTTTCAGATGAAAGCTCACACAGGAGTGAAGGGACCAGGAGTAATGATGCCACAGTTCACTCAAACGCCCATGGGGTGCCCGGGAGCTAGATATTCACAGCACCATGCTACAGATAATGTGTTAACTGCAAAAGAGAAAATGTAACTTTACAGCAGATATCTGACAGTGGTCATCTTACGTCAGGGTCTTGAGCAGGACTATCTCTTGCCATAGCTCTCCTGACGTTAAGTATTACGGGTTATGCCTTCATGTCCCTGCAAAGTCTCTTGTAGTTTTAGGTAGTACTTTTTGGAGGTGACTGAATGTAGGGTATGTGAAAGTTGACTGAGTGTGATACTGGGTTAGCTCAGTAATTGGTTTTGCATTGTTCTAGATGTGGGTAAAAAGCTCACCCTGCGTGTGTGTGGCCACCACTGAAAAGGTGGGTAGCCTAGATGAGATGAAAGGGAAACGAAGGCTGCCGCTGCTTGCTGCCTCCTGCCTGCCAGGCTATGAACTGTTTCTCCTTTGTGAGGCCCCTCTGCCATGCCACCCTGTCTTGGAGTCAGCCAACCATGGGCTGAAAATTCTACAAACGAAGCCAAAATAAACCTTTCCTCCTTTAACTTTGGATGTCAGATATTCTGTCTTAGCAATGAGAAAAATAATTAGGACATATAATAAGTAAATGTCACCTACATGTGCAGAAGGGTTGATGTGGAGGGGGACATTCAGCCTTATGTAGAATGCAGTCCTTCCCATACAGTGATTCCAAAAGTCTCAATGTGATGAAAAATAAACCAGCAGGTACAGGAACCATTTTAAAAAAGAAACTTTCAGAGACTACAGAGCATTAACTGGTGGCCCCCAAAAGATATGACCATGTCTTAATCTCTGGGACTTACAAATGTGACACTACTTGGGAAACGATCTTGGGTTAGGGTTAGGGTTAGGGTTAGTATGAGGGTGGGCCCAGATACAATGGCAATCAGACCACTGTGGCCAGTGCTGTTCCAGCAACACAGTTTGACAAGCTTTACCCAACAGAAGAGACTTGGGATAAAGTACAACTTTCATAATGGCCTTTTATCACGAGTCCTTACTGCAGTGAGAAAAGGACTGTTTGGCAGGCCTGATTTGGGCTGGGAGATTTAGCTCAGCGGCTCTAGTGCTTGCCTGGTTAGCATGAAGTCCTGAGTTTGATCCCTGGCACCCCCCTCCCCCCCAAAAAAAAAGAAAGAAAAAAGAAAAGAGGGCTTGATTTGGGCTTAATTTAGCTTGGCCTAACCCTAACCCACTACTGCCCTGAATACTGAATATAAATACGAAGTAGTTCTGGGGAGCAGCCTCTGCCCAGGGCCCTGTGTGCTCACCTGTCTTTCTCCTACGACCTCACACTTGCCAGGCAGGCACTTAAGTAGCTGAGCTAAATCTCCAGCCCAACGTTTTTTTGAGCCGGGTCTGTTGTGTATCCCAGGCTGGCCAGACTCAAACCTACTATCTTTCTGCCTTGGCCTCTAAATGCTAGGATTACAGGCATGCACCATGGTGCCCAACTCTTCCTTACCTGTCTTGGGCTGTGCAGTCCCTTAAGTTCCTCTTTGCATTTGTTGGTTTGGCACCCTGCAAGCATGAGCCCTAACCCAGGGTCCAGCCTCCTGCAGTCCCCGGAAATGATCCAGGGCTGGTAACCCTTCCCCCTCAGAAGCGTGAGGAGCAGAGTACCCAGCACACAGTACCACACCCCAGCACTGGGAGGACTGAGATCAGGACTGTGCAGCAGGATGGTACCCACACATAGTGAGGACAGTCACGGGTGACAGCTGTGACTGGGGTACCACTGCACATACTTTTGCCTGGCAGATAAAGCATCTGAGGCCCATAGTGTGGGGCTGACCAAAATCACAGGGCTCAGGACTGCCAGGAGGAGGGCTGCAGGGGGCTTTCCAGGGCAGCTGGCTCTTTGTATCATGGAAGTTCCAAAAGTCTACTGTCACTTTTCTACGGTCAGGGAGCAAACAAGAGGAAAAGCCTGGGCTGGAGCTACAGCTTCTCCACACATTTCCCCGCCTGACTGCACGAGTGCGGATCCACCTCCACCCTCCCTCCCACTCCAGACACCCCTTCCTTTTCTTTCTTTTCCTTTCCTTCCTTCCTTTCTTGTTTTAAGCACTAGGATTGAACCCAGGGCTTTTACAGAGTTACGATGCCAGCACTTTAAAGAATTTTTAAATGACTTTTTCTTGTTTATTTTAGTGCTTGCTACAGGACTCTGGGTTATGTACCCAGAGAACTGAAAGGTCTCCTCCAAAAACCGCCTTCTTTCTCCCTTACATTGGTACATCCTGCTGTTTTGCTGAGTCCTGGATTCAGTGTCTGGCTGTCCTGCTTGTTTCCCAGTTCCACAGCTTCAGTTAATCCTGGTATTAACCATCATTCTCTGAGCTGCACGCCAGCACAGAGTTTCCCAGAAAGCCTGCCTCTGTTCTTATTTCATAAATGTTAATCTTGGGTTGCTGACTCTCAACTGTCTACACTACACTAAACATGTTTCCTTTAGAGATAATATGGATTAGTGTTCTAGGAATGTATAAAAATTCACGTTAGAATTAATTTCAAATTAAAGTTCAAAGCACAAGTCGTTTAAACTGTACACTATCAACTTCTTTTACAAGCTACTCCCTCTTATCAGCTCGTTACTAACGAAACTGGGGAAACTAAGGAAGATTTTTTTTTCTATAACAGAAACAGGGAGGAATGTTGGGGCACAATTATACTTCAATCTCTGTGTCTTTTTTTTTTTGGTACCAGAAACTGAACTCCAACCTCATGCTTGTCAGGCGCTGTGCCACTGAGCTATATCTCTGGCTGGGGCATAATTTTAATGTAAGAACACATTTATTTATTTAGGTACCAGGAATCAAACTCATGATCTTGCGTTTGCCAAGGAGGCACTTAGGCCACTGAGCTATGTACCTGGCCCAAGAACAAATTTATAAAAGAGTAAGCTTCAAGGTATTTCACGATCAATTAGAGGTCTCTGATCAAGTTTCTACTCTACTTTGTCAAATTCAATTGACCCTGACAGTGTCTAAAGCCCAGCTGCGTATCTCTGACGTACCTTAAGGTACCCAGGGCTACTCAAGGAAACCCTGTAAAGGGCTCCTCCCTGGAATGTTATGTATTATGATAATGCATTTAACTATGCTCACTCTATAAGGGCTTTCGCCCTTTGTTTCCTGGAGGTTTTTTTTTTTTTTGTGGTTTCTAGATTCTTTTTCTTTTATTTAAAGAGAAAAAAGAAAGGACATCAAAAAAAAAAAAGGCAGTAAAAGGGTACAAATAATACAGTATTTCAAGGGGCTGGGGATTTAGCTCAGCGGCGTAAGCGCCTGCCTTGCAAGCAGGCAGTCGTGAGTTCGATCCCTGGTACCGATAAAAAGGAAAAAGACAAAAAAAAAAAAAAATACAGTATTTCAAGAAAACAAAAATATACAGTAAGAAATCACCAGTTAATAGGTTACACATTATTTTCCCAGGAAGTTGTCCAAATTACAAAATTAAGGCATATAAAGTAGACATTCATACAGTGAAATTGGAGACAGTTCCGTTCAATGATCCAACAAAAGCTCAGTAATATGGTTTTCCATCCTACACACTTGAAGTACCCGTGGTTATATCCTTTAGTCCACCTTCTTTTCCTCTCTTTTTTACAGTAACAATTAGACTTTTTGGATTTTATTACTCCCACGGTTCTTATTACTTTTTTTGAAGCAAATAAAACCAAATGTGACTAAGCAAAACAGAGTCAGAACAGAAGGGAGGGCATAGCACATGATGCAAAAATAGAATACCAGGTGATCAAAAGTGGTTATCATTGTGCTTCTTGCTATTTTTAAATTGAGTTGTCTATATCATCAGGTATAATAGAACTGATCAAAACAGTACAGAACAAGACCAATAAAACCTACACTGAAGACCTTGCAGGACTTCAAAAAAAGGGTAATAGTCAAACCATAATGGGCATCATAGTACATCTTATTGCCTTCAAAGTGATTGCCTATGCCCTCAAACTTGATACTATCAAACAAAATAGAATACAGAATAATCAGACAGAACAAGAGGGGGAGAGCAATACTGGGGTTCAAATCAGGTTAACAGGAAAACCAAGAAAGTTACTATAATATGTCCCGCTATTTTTAATTTAGTTTTCCCTTAATTAAAAAAATGAGAGAAAATAGATTAATTTAAAAAGGGGGGGGGAGATTGAGATTAAGAGAGGACACTGTAACAGAACAACGCAGGGCAGAACCGAACCATTCAAGCATCATTGTGTTTCACCACCAGGTAATCTAACATAATAGTAGTCGCCATAGTGCTTGATGTTACAGCATACGAAGTTACACTCAAATAATTCAAGGAAAGAGGCACTATTCCTGGAGTATTTTTACATTACAATAAATGTCTCCCTTGTTTCAACAAATTTGTTCAAGACTAGCATCCTGTCAAAATATGGCTCAATGCATATAGCCAATTATGTAACATTTTGTCACTTGCTTTGTACTTTCCACTTCTAAATTCTATATAAACTAAACTCTTTGTCAACTCAGGGGTGTTGCCTTTGAGGAATTAATCTCCCAACAATCTGCTGGTGTGAAGATCCAGCAGTCCACCAGCATAAAGATTAAAAAAATCTGTCATCTTAAAAAAAATTTTTTTTTTTAGATTTTCAGACAGGGTCTCTAAGTTACCCAGGATATGCTCAAACTTACAATCCTCCTGCCTCAGTCTCCCAGAGTGCTCAAGTGCCTTAGATCCTTACGTAAGCCAGGGCAAATCAGCACAAGCACATCCACTGCTTTCCCTGGTAACACGCATGGTCCTGCACCCACCCCACGAAGGGATACTCACGCAGATCTGTCCCATACTTGAGCCCTGCCTTGGGCACCCAGCCCTTGCTCCGGAAGTAGTGGTAAGCCCCGTAGGTTGTCCTGAATGTAGGTCGAATTGCGGTGAATACCTGCCAGAGCTTTCGGATCGTCAGGGGTTCCTAAAGTTATTTAAAAGAAAGAGGTGCTGTTTATGCATAATCTGTTTCCCTCTGCTAGGGACCAGTATCTGTTGGTGTGGCTCCTCAGCAGCAGCAGTGGCAGTGGGGCAAATGCAGGGCCCTCCTGGGACACCCAGACTGGGCCGTCCAGTGTGGCAGGCACTACCCTCACATGGCTCATCAAACAAGTGCTGTGAGTGTAACACACACAGGAGTCCAACCGGAGGGAGAGTAGAGAAAGAATGCAAACTGTGGATATGTTGGGTTACATGAGCTATGTATTATTGTTACTAAAAGTAATGTCACTTGCTTTTAAAATATTAACCAAGTAGGTTTTTTTCCTTTTTTTTTTTTTTTTGAGGCAGTCTCACTATATCTTGATCTTGAGGCAATCTTCCTGTCTCAGCCTGTTAGTGCTATATTATAAAACTGTATACACTACACCGCTCACCTGTGTTTTTCTTTTTAAATGTAATGTGGTTACCAGGAAAACAGAAAATGACTCATTGGCCTCCACCTGAGGCATCCACTGGGGATCTGGGGCACGCAGAAAGACAGATATAGAAGCTGGGGTGCAGCTCAGTGGTGAATCACATGCTTAAGCATGCCCAGGCTCTGGTTCCACCCCAGCACTAGAGAAGGAAAAAAAGAGAGTAACGTCCTTCATGAGTAGGACCAGGAGGAGAGCCAGAAAGTACACCCGAGGCCAGAAAGTAGCTTGGGCAGCATGCTCAAGTATAACTGACACAGCTGACAGAACAGGGCAGCTGGGGACAGTGTACTCCAAGGAGCCAGGACCCAGTGCAACGCGAAACTGGGTGAGATGAGCTTTGCCCCCATTCAGCAAAGAACTGACTTCAGCTGGGCTCTGGCTCTGCTGCTAACTGCGATGTGCTTGGTTTGGCTGGGCTCAAGGTTTTTTTTTTTTTAATTTTTTTTGTCTTTTTTTCATTTTTATCGGTACCGGGGACCGAACTCCCGACTGGCTGCTTGCAAGGCAGGTACTTATGCCACTGAGCTAAATCCCCAGCCCCTGGGCTCAAGGTTTTAACCCCATGGGTGCAGCTCAGAGACAGAGCAGTGCTCAGCACATGTGCGTAGCTGGGCTCCAGCCCCAGCACCACAGCAACAAAACCCACCAGTATAAGTGCAAGCTTGCTGCCATGTTTCCTTTTCCTTTCTTTTGTGTTTCTTATATGAAAGCCCCACATGTGAGCATTGACTCCTCTAACAAGGACAAGGCAGGATTCCAGCCTGGAGAGCCTGGTGTCTCCAGATGGTGAGGACTCTTCAGCTACAGCACCTGGAAGAGCCCAGCGGCAGCCCATAAAAGGGGGTTGTGCAACTAAGAGCAACCAACACAGAGGAAAAGAAGTCAATCAATGTGCTTCCAAACCACTAAATATGCACGCAAATAAAACATGAGATGAAACATTGGCTGGAAAGGTAGCCCATACCTGTATTCTTAGCTATGTAGGAGGCTGAGTCAGGACGATTGCAAGTTTAAGGCCATCATGGGCCACACAGTGAGACCCTGCCTCAAAATAAAATACACAGTGCTGGGGACATAGCTGAGTGATAGAACACTTGCTTAGCATGTGGAAGGCCCCAGGAAAGAGAGAGACACAGACAGAGACAGACAGACAGACAGAGATAGAGAGACCAAGACAGAGAGAGTAAGACAGAGAAAGAAAACAATCACAATTAGACAAATGATAAATTTATGTTAAGACCAGACAAAAATACTTTCTCTGTCTTATTAAGCATTCTGCTTATCATTCTATTTTACCAATTTATTCTGAAGCGGTATTATGGTTTGAAATTGCAAAAGCACAGCGAGTGTCCAGCGTAGACTCCCCTCTGCCCAGTCCCTAGCCTTGGGTGCTGTCTATGTGGTTGTCTTTCTTCTGTGCATGGTGGCCACAGTATGAAAGCACACCAGATGCAGGAGATTCTAACCAGAGTAGTGAGTGGCTTTGGATGACTCATCTTCTCTAAGCCGGTTACTTTGGTGTAAAATTCTTACCAAGTGGAGGCAGGACAGGAAACAGTGTGTGAAAGGGAACTGACACATCTGGTAAACACCTGTAGCTTTTGTTTTTTGCAGGGCTGGGAAAGGAACCCAGGGCCTCACACATTTGGGCAAATGTTGTGCCACTGAGCTATGTCCCTAGCACTTTTGTATTTTATTTTGAGGCAAGGTGTCACTGTGTAGCCTCTGATGGCTTTAAACTTTTAATCCTCCTGTCTCAGCATACCCCCTCTTTGTTTTGAGACTAAGTCTCAGTAAGTTGTGCGGAATTGCTGAATTTGGAATCCTCCTGTCTCAGCCTCCTAAGGTGTTGAGATTACAGGAATTGCCGCCACGCCCAGCTCCGTTAATTCAGTGTTGTTTGGACACAGATTTCCTGGTCTGTGTATAAGACACTGTGCTTTTCTTGGTCTACAAGAGTGAAACTCAGTCTAAAATGGTTAAAGCTGGCTTTTGCCTGCATATTCCCAGTTCAGAACCTGAAGTTAAAACTTAAAGAGAAAAAAACTTCAACTCCTATTTAATTTAGCAGAAACAAGCACATCTGAATTACAGCAATATGGACTAGCCAGGTGTGCTGGCTGTAACCCCTGTGCTCAGCAGTCAGGAAGGAGGTCAAGACCACCCTGGGCTACAGTGAGTTCAACATCAGCCTGAACTACATGAGACCCTGTCTCACAACACAAAACAAACGTACTATGGAAATCAGTGAACCTACTGTGAACATCAGAGAAGGGGAGCTACCCTTACATAAAACATCTTACCTTCTTGTAGTAGATACTCAGACACCCCAACGCATAGACCAGGAAGAAGGCCTAAAAATGGAGCCAGTAGAAAACAACCATTAGCAATTGGCAGCATTCTCAAGAGACCACTGCAGATCCCATTCTCTTCCTGTCAGATACAAACTGATATCCTTAAGTCACTATCCAATCGGTCATACGGCCTGCTTTTGTCATGGAAACTGTTGCTTCGAACTGCATCATGCACACACTCCCCTGGGGGCAGCATGTGAGATGGTGGCCTTACGTGGATAAAGCTGCTCTTAAGTGCAACTAAAAAGAGCTTTCTCATCAACTCTGGAAAGGCGCCAGACTTGGGTCACAGTGGAATCCTGATCTGTCCAGGTCACAGGCTCCAAAGACTGCACTGCAGGAGGTAGTAACTGAATGGGAACACCTAGTAAAAAGTCACTTATTTAACTTTATTTTTGGTGAGGGGATGAGCCTAGGGTCTCATACATGTGAAGTCCATGTGCTACTGCTAAGCTGCACCCCTAGCTCTGATATTTCTCTTTCAACCTAAGTATTTTAGAAGACATGGGATTAAATTCATAATTGACACAGATTCTGTTTCTCGATTTTGCTACAGCCACCTTACACCGGACAGGAAGGACCTCCCGTGCACAGTGCTGTCCCCTATCCAGGTGTCCTATGGCTCTGCTCTGCAGGAAGAGGCTGCACACAAAGAGCCCAGGACCCACAGGCCACCTTGGCGTGTGCTCAGGATGTGGCAGGCTGCATGTGTGTGGCATCCCTCGTGGTAAACACAGGGCCACATGCAACTGCCCAGGACTTGTAATGTGGCTGGTATGAATGAGAAACAGAATTCTGAATTACATTCAAATTTAATTACTTTAAATTGGAATAGCCCACCCATGACTAGCAGCTGCCGTGTTTCATGGTCAACAGCGATGCAGTAAATGTGGCCAAACATGCCTTTCCACGCTAAGTCTACGCAGTGTTGCCGGCCTCTGCAAGGAAGGGAGTACAAGCTGGGAGGTGGGGCACGAAGATACCACACTGCCTGTGCACCCGGCCTTGAGGCCCACCTGGGACCTGTGAGTGTCCAGACCTTCAAAAGCAGAAGGGGCTTTCTGGGTGCAGCACAGACTTAAGCAGGAAAGGCAGGGCTGAGTGCACCAATACCTGATCGAGAGGCCTTGCCGGTCTGAGTAGTGGTACTTACAACCAGGCATCTTAGGGAAGGAGGCTCAGCTAAAGTGCAACTACCACACTGTGGTGAAAAATGTGCCACCTAAGTGATGTGATAGCAGGAGACACAGACCTGCTTGCTCAGTGAGAGTCAGACCCATTAGAGCTTGTCAAGCTCCATCAGGAGACTAAACAACACCAAGGTACATGTTTTACTTACCATTTTGGAGACAGTGTCAGTAAGCTGACCAGGCTGAGCTGCTTGGATTATAGCACTGCGGCACTATACGTGGTGAGTTATACACCTTACTTTTTTGCAGAGCTGGGGTAGAACCCAGGACCTTGTGCATATCAGGCACGTGCTACACCACTAAGCTGTATCTCCAGCCTTGGTTTGTCTACGTTAACCAGGTGAACTGATGGTGTGTGAACTGTATCTCTGAAGAGCTGTCTGGTTTTTAAAGGCTAGTGCGAATGAGCGCGATCCTATTCAGCCAATCTGAAAACTTAGCGAAAAGGGAAGTACTAAGATGAGTCCCTCTAAATGCTCTGTGGAATGGCCCAGTGCCACTCCCCAGAACATACGCTTTCTTGTAGTGTTCCAATGTGGAATCAGGGTCTCTCATGTGCTGGGCAAGCGCTCACCAATGAGCATCCCAGCCCTAACGCAGAGCTGAGGACTGAGGGGAAATGGTGGAGGAATGAAATTTAGGCAGCTTCCATACACAACGCCTGCAGGGCTTTCAGTGCTTAACTGCGACATCCAGTGACTCCAAAATAAGACACAGGGTGAGGTGGGTTCGTGTCCGATGAGGACAGTGCTGCACCTCCTGGAACTGAAGTAACACAATGGAGATGAATTCCTAAATGAAAATGTACCTCTTCCAGGCTGAGCTGCAGATACTCAAAGATCCTGTAGGGGTTTCTTCTGCATATTAATCTCTTTCTTTGCACCAACTGAAGAGATAGAAATAAAATCAAACACAACAGAATACACAGATGCACTACAAGCCACGTGGAAGAGACTGCCTCTGAAAACAAATACTTTCATGTTGAGTGTGGCAGTGCAGGTCTGTACTCCCAGCACTTGGGAAGCTGCAGCAGGAGGATCACAAGTTGAAGGTCTGCCTGAACTACAAAGTGAGGCCCTGTCTCAAAAACAAACACTCTCTCCCCCACAAAAAATAAAAACAAACTAAAACCCAAAACTACTTTCTTATAAATTCCTAAGTTTCACTAGCCATTGGATAAATAAAAAAATCTCATTTTTTATAACTTATGTGCAGAAAGCTTTGATTTTTTCCTCACTTTTAACATTTTTTCCCCATGCATTTTTCGTGCAGTTGCACGCATGGGGGTGAATCTGTTTTTACCCTTAAGCATGTCTACTCTTAACAAGCCTTCGTAAGTGTCATTCTTTCTCGCTGTGCTCAGGGTTATGTGCAATGCCACTGCCATTCTGCAGTTTTCTGTCTTGCTTTAGTTTGAGTCTGAGAAAGTTAATGTTATCTACTCCCCACCCCCGCTGTAGTGGAAAGGGTGCCCACACTGCTGTGTTCCTGAGTCTCACCGGACCTGCTGTGGAAAGGGGACCGGGGTTCCCTACCGCCACCTATAGGCCATAGAGGGCTCTACAGGCAGGGTTTCAGAGCTGCACCTTGTCCTGAGGACACTGCTGTTCCTGCCCAGCACATCTATGATATATGAGGTATGATCCAAACAGTGAGTGTGTACCTTTTAGAAATTTATCACAATAAAAGGCTCACTGCCATGAATTCTGCTGAAAACACCCCCTTGTTTCGGGCACTCTTTCCCCACCATTTCTGCCACTCTGCCGTAGCTCTGGAAGTCCTTCCATGTCTATGAAAATAAGATGGATGTTACGGCTGAGCGCCACCCAATGGAAAGGTGGGCTCACAAAACCATTCTGGTGTGTCCTGTCTGCCTCACTCACCAGACCTGGCACTGTGGACTTCTGGCTGTTCCCCAAGGCTAAAGTGATCAAGAAAGATGAATGTTTTGAATCATTTAAAGACACTGAAGCAGCCACAACAGGACAACTGAAGACATTTGAGAAAGAGGACTTTGAGAACTGCTCCACAAAGTGGTGAGGGTGACGCGCTCAGTGTGTTCAATGCAATGTTTGGAGGGAGAGTAGAGGCAAGGACCTCATTGTGTAGTTTCAGCTGGCCTTTACTACGTAGCCCAGGCTGCTCTGGAACTTGCAGCAACCATCTTGCCTCAGTCTCCTACATGCTGGGACTATAGGTATGTGCCACCACATCCAGCACAATGTGTGTCTTCTAGTAATAAATTTTTTAAAAAATTTAAATATTCCCTGTGTTTGTTAATCACATTTCAGGTTTAACTTATAAATGAAGCTCAGTGAGAGATTAAAAATAGGTAATAGTAATAAAGGAGAACAATTCTAACAATACATTGTGATAAAAGTGACACTCTTGAAAAAGCGTGTTATCTTCGAAGCAGTCGGGGCAGAGGACACTTCCGGGCCGTGGGCACTGAAGCCACGGAAACAGAGTAGTGAGGGGGCCAGACCCTTCCTCTTTACCTCCTCCTCCAGGGTGTCCTCCCTCTCGCTCCTGGTTGCCTCCTCCTCCACCAGCACGAACTCCGGGCCGGACTCCCTCTCTCCAGCATGGAGGACACTGGGTAGCAGGCTGCTGGCTGCAGGTTGAAGGCCACACTGCGGGCTGAGTGCATCCTGTGCACAGCTGGGAACCCAGGGAGTAGGTGTGAGGTCCTCTCCCACGTGATCCCTGAAGACGGCTGCAGCCACTGGGTCAGGCCCGGAGCCCATGTCGGCCTCTCCTGTCTCCTGTGCAGTGCCAGAGGCTCCATCCATCCCAGGAAGCCCCGCTGTTCCTGCCAAGAGTCCAGCCTGAAGCTGCCCCTCTGTACTGCTCCCTTCGCTGGGACACTGGACTGGCTTCGTGTACTCCTCCAGGATGCTGCGTGCAGTGCTCTCATCCTGACCCTGTCTGCGCAGGAAATCTGTGGCCCATGCCAGACGACGCTGATACCTGCAGATGGAAACACTGCCAGCCACCAGGGCCAAAGAGAGCAGAGCACAGAGACTAGCAGGGGCTGAGCAGCTGCTTACAGCAGTCAGAGCCGCCAGCAGCTGACAGGACTGTGTTTGTGTCTTCTGGCTCTAGGAGGAAGCCCCAGCCCTTCACACTGAACTATATCCCCAGCCTTTTTGAGTCAGGGTCTCACTCAGTTGCTGAGTTACCCAGGTTAGGGTGGGACTTGCAATCTTGCCTCAGCCTCCCAGAGTGCTGGGATTACAGGCACACACCATCACACTTGGCAAAACTTACAGAATTTAAAACCAAGAGAGGCAGGTAAATACAGAGAGAAAATGACCATCTTCTATCAGGATTCATTTGGTTTTATTTTCAAGTTTGGAGATTACAATGTTTCTGATGTTTAATCCATAATATCAAGACCCGTTGCACAGCAATGCAGAGCAAAATGAGAATTTTGGTAAGTATTTTTCACAGCACCTAATAACTTCTTCACTGGATACAGAAAGAAATAATAGCCTTTTCCCCAGAACAACTTTCAGAGTGTATTTTCATGAGAAAACATACAGGAACTTTTTCAGTCTTGAAGGCAACACCTAAATACTTCCCAAGTTACAAAAAAAACAGCCCTTTCTCCCTTCACCCTCCCATGCATTCCTGCCGCTACTGTCCCAGGATCTTCATAGCTACTTACTACTTATCAAAAACAAAAACGAAAGAAACAAAAGAAAACAAAGGGATAGACGCCCAAGGCTCTGCTGGTTCCTGGTCTGAGGCTACTGTGTGGGGCTTGGGGACCTGTAAGTGGCTGCTGACAGTGCATCCACAGAGCACCCATGACATCTGCAGTGTCACTTGCTCATGAGACAGATGCCTGACTCCTTATCTGTGTGCAGGTCACTGTTGTGATGCATAGTGCACATGATCTCCCGGGGAAATCGGCTCTGTATGCTTAGGAGACTGGCAGGCTCTTCACCTGAGCCATTGGAATCCCCGAGTCCACACCCTATCATCTCACACAGACACGAGTGTGTCCACACATACGGGGAACTGAATCTCAAAGGTCTTTTTTTTTTTTTTCCCCCCGATACTGGGGACTGAATCCAAGGCTCTCACACTGAGCAACAACTCTGAACTTTTTAACAATTTTAATTCTTTGAGACATGGTCTAAGTCATTAAGTTGATCAGGCTGGTGCTAAACTTCTGACCGGTCTCAGCCTCCCTGAGTGCTGGGATTACAGCATGTGCTTGAATCTGAAAGACTGAAATGTAGATAGGAACGTGGTATCTGTCTGTAATCTCAGCTGCTTGGGAGGCTGAGGCAAGAGGATCCTAAGTTTGAGGCCAGCCTGGGCAAATTAGTTAGACCTTGTCTCAAAATAATAAAGGAGTGGGGGCAAAGCTCAGTGGTGGAGCACCTGGCAAGCCTGTGCAAGACCTTGGTTCCACCCCCAGGAGCCTCTCCACAATGCACAGAAGACTGATCCCTTACAAGGTTACTCCCATAGCTGAGCTGCAGTGACTCTGGGACCACACATGCTCTGCATCCAGCCCTGATTTAAGTCACCTACTACTGTGTGACAAGCAAATGACTTCACTTCCCTGTGTTTTGATTGCCCCATCCAAGAAATGGGTCACCTCCCACTAGCCCCCCACAGGAACCTGGTGCGGGCCTCTCGGTGTCAGTGGGGAAAGCGAGGCTGTCCACAAACTGGAGGTGGTTCCTAGCTGCGCCAGGTCACAGGTGTGTAGGGATGAGAACCTCAACGGGAGGAAGGCAAAGACCTAGAGTGAACCTGTTTATCAGAACCACAGCCTTGATTCTGGCGCCTTCCTGGGTCTACAAAGCTCTGCTACGTGAACCCCAGGTCTTTATTAACGTGGTTCCTTTTAGTGGGAAGGGGCCCACAACCTTCAACAAGTCTCTGTTTCCCTTTCATGTGGGGGATGGAGCCAGGGGCCTCGTGTGTGCCAAGTGAGTGGTCACCCAGAGCTGCAGCTGCAGCTCCATCCACTGCCCAGACTGGAAAGACCTGAAAGAACCCTGCACCCACAGCTGGTCAGCAGTCCAGCACTTGTCTAGCATATCTGAGACCCTAGATTCTAAGCCAGCACTACACCTACCCCACAGAAAGAACAAGAAACAAAAAGGTGTGGTACAAGATACTCACACTGGGGCCCCACTGGTGCATCTCCAGACCAGAGTCCACTCTACTTCCCAGGCTGGGCTGTAGCCACTAGCTGGCCGCTGGCCACTGGCACCCGGCTGCCAGACTCTGCTGGTGTGTGCCGGAAGCAGGATGAACACTGAACAAGGGGCCACGAATGGAGACCCATTGTGGGGACACTGAGGTTGGGGTGATGGTAGGGACCACCACATGTGGCTGCAGAGGAAGAAGGTCTGGTCCTTGTGTCCCCAGAATGGACCATTGCACTAAGCTCGTAAGGGACAGGGAGCACAAGGCCAGAGCAGCGGCCAGGGATAGGGTTTGGGAAACCCTCACTGACCCCCGTGGAGCACGGAAGGAGGGTAAACTGGCCTCCTGATGCCCATTACTCCATGCTGATGCCTACTTCCAAAGCAGCCTGGCTGGCAAAGGGTTCAGCTTAGGGCGACCTAAAACCTGAATGTATTCAAATAGAATTTGATCCACATTCAACTCAGAAGCATCCTGAACAATGTGTCTAATGCCAGAAAGAAAGAGAAGGTGGGCTGTAGACAGGAAAGACCGCCCAAAGATGCATCCACCAGAAGTGCGATTTTCAGCCACAGCTGAAATCGGCTGTGACCTACCTCTCTGACATGATGATGGGCATGTTGGTCTCCACATCTGTAATGGCAAAGGAGCTCCATTAGTTCCAGATGTGTTTCCCCTAAGAGGGAAAGTTACCCACTAACAATCAAGGAAGGGGAGAACTCAGGTCCCAAAGTCACAGCCTGGGAGGTGAGGCTTGGGTTAATGTTCAAAGCAGATGGATTCTGGGGTATTTTATTAGGCACCATTTTTCTGTCAGAGAAAATGGAAAAAAAGTCTATCCCACTAAGTCTGAGGAAGTATTGGTTTCAGTTACTCAAAGAGTTTCTCCCTAAGAGATTATGCAACCCAACCTGACATGCTTGTTTGGGTATCTTATTTCTATTTAAAAAAAAACAAAAAAAAAAACACTACTTTTTAAAATCTAATTTTATTTTGTAATTATTACTATATTGTACCTTTACAAAGTTCCAGACTTAAATCTGTATGGTCTCACTTCTTCCCATCCTATTTCATTCCTCCCTAGAGACATTTTAAAATGATGGTTTAGCTGAGCATGGTGGTAAATGCCTGTAACCCCTGCATTTTAGGAGGCTGAGGCAGGAGGATAGAAAATTTCAGTGCAGGCTGTCTCACAAAATATTAAAAAAATAAACAAAAATAAAAAGCGAGGGGGGTGGGGGATTATAGCTCAGTGCAAAAGCACCATGGGTTTAATCTCAAGTACTGAAAAAAATTATGTTTTCTTGTTCCATTTTTATTTTTGATTAAATTTATTTTTAATCTCATATATGAAAGTACATAGTAATGGAGTAACATGATATTTCCATACCTGTATACATAGTGTAAATCAGGTTATACACACTTAACTCCTTAAATCATTTTTTGTGGCAGTATTGGTACTGATCTAGGCCCTGGCTAAGTTCCCAGCTGGCCTTGAACTTACAAATCTCCTGCAGATTTGTAAGTGGCACTACAGATATGTGCCACTGTATGAGGCAAATTCTTTCACTTTAAAAACCACAATAAGCACATATTTACACACCCTTCTTCCTAGATACAGCACGGCACGCAGAGCCCGTCGCCTTCCTGCCTGTGCCCTGCGCGGCGCCCTTCTGCTGGCGTCAGGTCGCACCCAGCCTCTGAACTTCACAAACAGTGCTGTCAGGAGCAGCCTTCCACTACTTCCTGTCCTGTTTTGGCCAGTACATCTTGAAGACCCATTCCAGGAAGTTAGGGTGCCAGTTAAAAACAAAGCATGTGACGGGCAACTGCACAGCCCCAGGCACTATGAAGCTGGACCTTCACCCCTGCAAAAACCTCTCAAAGGGAAAGAAGACCAAATGCAAGGAGCTGAACCCGTAACACTCAGAAGAAACAGGGGAAAGCCTGGGTTTGACACTGGTTTATTAAAAACAGTACCAAAAGCACAAGCAACAACAGACAAAACAGATAAACCAGACTTAATTAAAATTTAAGTCTTAGCTGGGTACGGTGGTACACACTTGTCATCCAGCTATTCAGAATGCTAAGGCCAAAGCAAGAGGATGGCAAGTCTGGGGCCAAGCTGAACAACTTAGCAAGACCCTATCTCAATAAAAACAAAAACGAACTACAACAGAAACTTAACCACTTAAGACCTGTTTTAGGGGGCACAGGGCAACACACAGAATCAGACCCAGGGCTCATACTTGGTAGCTGAATGCTCTGCACTGAGCTCCCAGCCCAAGATGATTAGTATTTAGAAAGTAAGCAAGCAGAGGTTGGCAAGGATGTAGAGAAACCGGAAGCCTTGCGGCACAGCTGATGGCGGGGTACAACGATGCAGACCTTGTGGTAAACAAGTTGTTCCTTAAGAAGTGAAACACAGCCATGTGCGATGGTGCACAGCTGTGATCCCAGCACTTGGGAGGCTGAGAAAGCAGATCATGAGTTTGAGGCCTGCTCGTCTCAAAAATAAAACAAAACAAAAAAAGCAAAAATAGTTAAAAGTTAAATGTGGGGGGCTGGGGCAGAGTGATAGAGTGCTTGCCTAGTATTCAAGAGTTCCTGGGTTTACAAAATAAGTTAAACAGCACAACCATATGACTTAATAATTCCACTTCTGGGTACACACGAAAAAGAAATGAAAAGAGAGACTCACAACAGGTATCTGGAGGCCAATGACCACAACATTATTTACAACAGCCAAGATGTATAAACAACCTCAGTGTCTAGTAGCAGGTGCATGGATAAACAAAATGTGGCTGTCTGACCACACGCTGGAATATTATTGAGTCATGAAAAGGAATGAAGTTCTGATATTGCCATGGCACAGATGAACCTTAAAAACACTATGCTAAGCAAAAGACGCCAGACACAAAAGGACAAATATTGCATGAGTCCTCTTATATAGAAAATATCGAGAAAAAGAAACTCATAAAAGTTACCAGGGACTGAGGGGATAGGAATGGGGGAAAAGGAAACAGGGAATGATACATGGTTTTGTGGACACTGCCAGATTCCCTTCTGGAGGGGAACACCACTGACTCCCACCGGCAACACATGAAAGTGCATTTCCCAGGGCCCCAGCATGGGACCTGTTACACTTCTGCACTTCCCTGCAGAACTGGGAACTCCTCTTGACAATGAATACTTTCTTATAATAAAATCTCTTAAAAACCTTATCTAATTATATCTTAACCAGATGAAACTGATGCTTTTAATTTTCCCTGTTTTCAATGGTGCCAGAAATGGAAATTTCCAACGTACCCATTACCACTCTGCACCTTACTGAGGTGAGATCCCAAAGTCTACTGGGCCAGAAAGCACTGAGGAGAGCATGCATTTACCTTTCCATTTTGCAACCAGCTGCGAGTCCGAGATGGAAAAGTTTGGACGGCTTCTTGAGAGAGTGCCTTTTCCAAAATAACCCTTCCGGGAAGAGAGGAAGGAATTAGTTTGTAGTTAGACACACCTCCCAGAAACAGCGGAATGCAACTGCTGGGGTCACAAGTGGCTCATCTCGCTCTTCTTGGCTGTCCATGATTATTCATGATTTCTGTTTTCTGTGACTCTGCCCTCTAGAGGAGCAAAGGAAGTTTGCAGTGTGCCTCACTGACCTGACTCTGGTCTGGGTCTGACACACAGAGGACACAGGTGGCGGGGACAGAGACTGCTGTTTGCCTGTGGATCGGGAACACTGTGTGCCTGAGAGACACGCTGCCCAGGCCCTCTGCACCCCAGAACTGAAGTGCTCTCCCTTGGGGCTGATCCCAAAAGCAACATGTAGTTACCCATGCTATTTTTGTTTGTCACCAGGTGTTCAGCCTTGCACTAAATTCCAGCCCCAACCCTTTAAAAATTCTTTAGAGACAGTATCTCACAGACTGGTCTCAATCTTGTGATCCTCCTGTCTGGGCCTCAGAAAACTAAAATTAAAATAAAAACCCTTCACCCTCCATGTAGATCTAACAGCCAGAATATACAAAGTGCATGGCATTTATAAAGACTGTTGCTTGACAGGGAGTACAAATGAAGACCTCGATGTTGAGCCATGGAGAGTCAAGGTCTGTGCTCACCCTCAGAGGCAGGGTGCCTCTACCTACTCCTGTAGTCTCTGGAGAGGGCACAAGGAAGGTGACCCGAGGCCGCTCGCTGTGTGCCTCAGGCTGTGAGCGGAAGCTGGGACCCAGTTCGATAGGCACGCTGTGGCAAAGGGACCGTCCTAACACTGGCTCATGGAGTCAGGGGCGTAACTTGGTGTCACAGTGCCAGATCCTTGGTTTACTTCCCCAAAACCCAATATTAAAACTGCACAGTTGTGGTGCTTGCACCCTCTCTAAATTTAAGGTAACCACTGCATTGTGCATGGACAGAGGACAAGCTTTATCGTTGTAAATCAGATCTCAATCAAGCTGTTTTTTAAATACCCCTAGTGCTAAATGAGCTTCAAGGCAAAGGAATGAGCGAGCTACCAACCTCAACCCAGGCCGTCATTACTAGAAAACAGTAAAAAACAGACCTTGCCCCCATCTAAGATGCCCTTCGCCGGAGAGAACAGTAAGAAGTGGGCGCTCAGAAGTCTCAGCTGACCTGTCCGGGAGCACGAACGAACCTGGAGGAATGTGATGGTGGACAGGGGATGCTCTGGTTCCAAAGCACATTTCTGTAAGTGGCACCTTTGCACTGCTTTTAATCACTGCAGTGCAGGCTGGGGTACAGTGGCTCCCACACAGCCCACTACTCCCACAACATGCAGCTTCAGGCACCTGATGCCAAGTGCGCAGGACCAAGCTGGCAGGGCTGGGGGAGTGGGGTGCTGCTGACACTTACTTTCCCATATAGCTGCTCCATGTCCGCTGGGCTCCTCACAATCACATGATTGTTGATCATCTCAGCACGGAATATTCTGAATTCCTTCTGAGGACCCAGGTCCCGGCCAAACAGGATCGGCAGAGGAGACTCATAGCTCTCATACACTCTTCTTTTCCTCTTTGGTGCATGGAACACAGCTTCTGCCATCCCTCAAGGGCAAGCGCTCTTCAAAGAAACAGCTACCCATACACTGATCGTTTACATGCAGTCTTGGAAAGGGCTGCTGCAGTCTGTGGGGAAAACAGGATCTTTACAAAATCGTTACCCAGAAGAAGGGGAGTCACAACAACATGCTGTACAAGCACATCACTGAGAGCATCTCAGGCCCACAGCCCCCAGCGAGGTGGGCGCCGTATTTCCCTGGAAAAAGGACACTGATGCCAAGGGACGAGTCCCAACCTGCAGCAAGAGGTCTCCAGGGAGCAAGTGGCCCTGGATCCCTGCCTGCCGGGACTTTGTCCCTGGATTCACTCAGCCAACCATGTTTCTTGAGGACTTTTAGGGCTCCTTGTAGTCATAGGATGTAAGATGAAGCCAAGTTAGCAAATTAAATCTAGCAAACGCTCTGCACTCCAAAAAGGCCTTGAATACATCCAAAACATTGGATCCATCACTCCCAGGATCAAATTCAATGGGTAGGGTCAGCGTTGGCCTTATGGGGAAATTTGATTTGGTTCTCATCCAATTGGTTTACACCCAGAATCATGGAAGAATTAAGTTTGTAACCTGAGGGACTAGTGTACTCATAACTAGGTATCTATGATCGAAACCTTTCTTAATATGTTAATCATTTCTTTATAAAACTTGTTTATTTGTTAGAGTTCTTCAGAAAAGAGAACCAACAGAATGTGTACAGTTGGTCCCTTACATGTAGGCTCTATATCCGGAGGTTCAACAATGGGGAGACGATATGCAGAAAAACTGCTTCCATGATAGTTATATACAGACATTTTCCCCTTTTCCTTATTCCCAAAACTTTACTGTGTAACAATATTCGCAGAGCACTTGCATCACCTTAGGTAGAGGACTCTGAAATGATAACACATGTACATGGAGAAGAGGCTGTGTGCAAGTACTGTGCCATTTTACACAGGGGCATGAACACCCTTACACCTGGGTATCAGTGGTTAAGTCTTAGAACCAATTCATCTGCGGATCAAGGGACAACTGTTCTCCAGCTCAAGTGTATGAGAGGAAATCATCCTTGTCGGGGCTGGGGATTTAGCTCAGTGGCATAAGCACCTGCCTTGCAAGCAGGCAGTCGTGAGTTCGATCCCTGGTACCCATAAAAAGGAAAAAGACAAAAAAAAAAAAAAATCATCCTTGTCACCCCATTAGAGGTGGCATTAGAGATGGCATTAGAGAACAGCGTAGCAAGTTCTTGAAATGCCAAACACTGAGCTACGGCAGGACCCTGCAATTTCGCTCCTTGGCACAGTTCATGGAAAAGTTTGTACCTGACTGCTCACAGCTGGTGATATTCAGCCACAAATGGATTCCACTCAACTATCCACCACAAGTGGATAGTTGATCAACAAAACCACACAACGGAACCTTACTCAGCCACCAAAAAGGCGTAAGCTCTGATACACTTTACAACAGAGACTTGAAAGCACTATGCTGAGTGAACATTCCAGATACAAAGACCACTGATGGGCTGGGGATTTAGCTCAGCGGCATAAGCACCTGCCTTGCAAGCAGGCGGTCGTGAGTTCGATTCCCGGTACCGATAAAAATGAAAAAGACAAAAAAAAAAAAAAAAAAAAAAAGACCACTGATGAGATCGCCAACATGAAACATTCAGAACAGGCAAATGTGCAGAGCTGGGCGTTGCCGGAACGGGAGAAAATGGGAGTGACTGTTAACAGACACAGGGTTTATTTTGGGGCTGAAGAAAATGTTCTAAAATTAGATTGCAGCGAAGGTGACAGCCATGTAATTCTGTGAATCCTACTGAATTGTACGTTTTAAAAATGATATTTTACGGAAAGATACATCTTGAGATGATATAAAGCTATTATTTTAAACAATTCGTAAAGAGGAAAAGCATCTTCCAGGCTCTATACTGCAAGAAAGGCATTATACTGTCTCAAAAAGTAAAAAAGGCCAGGGAATGTAGCTCAGTGTGATGGCCCTGGGTTCAACCCTCAGTACTGTAAGTAATCAATTATATTAATTATATTTATTTTTAATATTATATTTATATTAATTTTATTTATTACTATAATTTTCTTTTTTTTAAAGAATGACTTCATAAATACCAACATCAGCTTTCTGGAGACGATCGAAAGGAACTGTCTCACAAAGCAGTTCCCTTTCCAGGAGAGTAAAACTCAACAGAGAAAGCTTCATAAGTCTTTCATGCTGAGCCTGGTGTGGTGTGCACACCTGTAATCCCAGCATGAGGCAGAGGCAGGAGGATCTCAGCGAGGCCTCAACCAGCTGGTGCTACATAGTGAATTCAAGGCCACCTTGACTACACAGCGACATCCTGTCTCAAGGAAAAGGAAACAAAAGGAAAAAGACTGACTTCTTGCTGAAGCTGGAAGGCAAAGCAGAAAAGAAAGGCTGCCCCTAAGGCCCTTCGCATCTGCGCTCAGTGCCTTGACAGCAGAAGAGGGGACCGCGAACCAAATGAAATCTCATCACAGGCAGGTAAGAACTCCAGACCCCGAGTGCCACCTGAGCTCGGGTGCCCGATGACAATGACTATCTGTACCTCACAGAGGCCAAAAGTGAGACAGTGCGGGATGGCAAGGCCTAAGGAAGCCGGGAAATCGATGCTCAGGAGAGGCTCTGTGGGTAGTCAGGGATCTGGACGCGGGCTGGGTGTGTGGCTCTCAATGCTGGAGATCACACGCGGGGCTCCGCCCACGAGCTGCATCCCAGCCCACACACCGAAGACTATGGCGCCCCGGGGCGCACGCGCCTGCAGGTCGGCATTTTCCCCGTCCCCAAAGTGGGCCCGCCTAGCTCTGAAACGCGTGCCGTCCGCATATTTACCTAGCCGCTCTTGGATGCTCTCCGTGCGGGCTCGTGGCAGACACTCGGGCCAGGAGGCCACACGCCTCCCCCAGCCAAGCCAGCCACCTGTCCCCGGAGCCTCCTCCGCAGCCCCAGCTCCGGGAGACGCGAGCCCTTCCCCGCCAACCCTGTGGCAAGGGGGTCGTCTGGAGACCCGCGCCTACCGTGCAAGCCCCAGTCCTATCCGACCCCGGCCTGGCCCCTCCGCGCTCTAGACCTCACCTGACTGAGCCCACGCGCTTGCTGTTACCCGGCAACGCCACACCGGCTGCCGTCAAGCAGCGAGGCCGCAAAACTAGCTCAGTGCGCAGCCGCAAGCGCGAGGGACGCCCGGCCGGGTCTTCTGGAGTGCGCCTGCGCAAGGCTCCCTGGCGGGCTTGGCGTGTGTGCTGGTTCTCCTCCGGCTGGGAGGCAGAGCAGGTTTGTCCTGGCTTCACTACGGGGACGGTTCTCGGTTACTCCTCGTAAGACTCCTTTTGCAAGATGAGAAGCGAAACTACCTGTCCTGTGTCGCATAGTCACGTGGGTGGTGGAGTAAGTGGGGATGCCACCGGCCTGCATTCAAAGACATCTGGGGACCTTGACCTCAGCCTGTGCCGTGTGACCCGGACCTGGGAACCTGCGGTGCAAAAGGCTGTGCTGCAAGGAGCATACAAGGGCGCCTCCTCCCGAGACCCTGCCCAAACCCGGGTGTGGAATCTCAGCTCAGTCCCCACCACCACTCCCACTGGCTGTGTGAGTCATTCGGGAACCCAGAGGACTCCAGAATATTGTGCCTTCCACCTAGAAGAGGATGGCTGAGACTTGAGTGACAGGAAGTGTGACAGCCCCCTAGGCCCTGGTGGACTAGAGCAGCCCTGACAGGGAGGCTACAGGAGCCTTTCCAAGTGGGCAGGAGGCAAAAGGTCACAAGGAGGGCGATAGGGACTGCTGGGTGGGGCCTTCTCCAACCTTCCTTGCCCCTGGGCCTTTGCACGCCCTGTGCCTGTGCTGCTGTCCTTTCTGGTTGTCTTTCAGGTGCCGCCTCAGAGTTCACCCGTGCTGGGCCACCTGCTTGAGTGACTGGCTTCTGCGTTCTGCATTATCTGGCACAGTCTGTGTTGACCCAGTTTCCTGCTGTTTCTCAAGGGTCTGTGAGCTCTTGGGAGAACAAGATCACAGTGTGGCGCTCACGGAGTGCTTAACCCGTGTGGGCCTTCACTGCTGGTCCGGGAAGCACAAGCTTCAGAAAAGCAAAATCCAAGAGTTCTTCCCCCTCTCCCTCTTCTGTCTGTCTGTCTGTCTGTCTGTGTCTCTCACTCTCTCTGACTTCCCTTGTGGGACTGAAGCCAGGGCCTTCACAGTGAGCTAAATCCCCAGCCCCTTTTTTACTTTATTTTGAGATGGTCTTTCTAAATTGCCCAGGCAGGACTCGAATATAGGATCCTCCTGCCTCAGCTTCCAGACTACTGGGGTTACCTGTGTGCTCCCCACATTCAAACAGCCCGTTTCTCATTGCTCCAACGAAGTATGCAGAGCTGGGAAACGTGATAGCGGCTTGTTTAGGTCACCGTGCTGAAGATTCAAGGGCAAAACGTTCACATGGCCTGATCTTCTACATGGTGCATGGGAGGCCCCTTGAGAGACAGAGTGAGCAGTTAAGGGGTTGTACTCTCCTGCTACTGCTCTTGAGAGCCCAGAGGACGCTAGGGTTCCCTTCCGCAGGCAGCGCCCCCTGCTGGCCACCCTCAAAGCACACCCAACCCAGTTGGTGAGAGTGGATGGGCCAGCTGCAGGCAGTGCTGTGCCCAGGCAAGCCAACGTCAGAAGTAAGGGCTGGCTGGGCACCTCTGTTCTGAAATGCTTGGGGCCAGAAATATTTTAGATTTTGGAATCTTTGCAAATACAAGATGAAGTATTTTGGGAATGCCAACCTGGTCTATGCTTGGAATTCATTTCTTTTGCCCACATCTCCTCCATACACACAGCCAGAAATAGTATTTTCAGGCCCTGCATTTTGAGTGTGACCCATCACAGGAGTGCAAGTGTAGAATTTATCTCTGATTTTGGAGCAGTTGTGGCTTTCAGGTTAGACAAGCAGCCCACACTGGGTTTTGCGCTAAAGGGCTTTAACAACACAAGGGTCTCAGAGGTAGTCCATTTGGCTTCCTCATTTATCTGAACTCAGACACTAGCAAGGTAACTGTAAGTCTGAATGGGCTGAGATAGAGCCCGGCTTCCTACTGACTGTCAAGGCATCACCCTGAGCCCTCTCCCCACAGACAGGCCAGAGGAAATGTCAGCAAACGGAAAGTTCTTCCCAAGACTTTCTCTTGTGTCTGCATTGCAAACCTTTGGTTACGATCATTTTTGAATACACAGGAAAACAAGGAAAGTACTCTTATAAATAACCATTTGCACAACCTTTGGTCTTTGGTATCTTGTTTCTTTGACACTCTCCAAGTACACATTTTTATTTCCAAACTGGAGTAGTTACAGTTTTGAGACAGGGACTCACTGTGTTGCCCAAGATGGTCTCAAATTCTTGGACTTTGGGTGAACTCCTGCCTCAGCCTCCTGAGTAGCTGGAGCTATAGGCACAAGCCACACTAAAGTATTTTCAAATACTTTAGTCCCAGGTGTGGTGGCACATGCCTGTAATCCCAGTTTTTGAGAGACTGAGGCAAGAGGATTAACAATTCAAAGAACAGCCTGGGCTACATAATGAATTCAAGGCCAGCCTGCACTAAGACCCTGTCTCAAAACAAGCAAAGCCCGAATAAAGCACTCCAGAAACAAGTGTCACAGAAAATTCCCCGTAGTTCTTTGAGTGTATTTCCAGTAGACGGGCTTAGCTAGTACATATGTGTACAGCGATGTGTGTGGCAGAATCGAATAGTTGATTCTCATTGTTTGAGACAGTCCTCCCCTAAAGTTGCTGAATCAAAAACAAGCAAACACAGCTCTGCTGCTCCCAGAGACAACAGGGGCTGGGTTCCTGGGTATCTCTGATGGAAGCATTTCCATCACCTGATCAATGCAGGGCCTTGTTCTCCAGGTTTCTATTTAAAGCTGTCTTATATAACATCAATTGTTGATTCATTAACGTGGAACTCCTGGCCAACAGCTCAGCAACTGTCACCCGAGGGCAGCTTATTTAACCCCCAACCTTCCTCCAGAGAGGCATAGCCCCTGGGCAGCCCTTATCGCCCAGCGTGGATCCTCAAAAAACAGCTCAGTCACTAGCAAAAGCACCGAGTGGGTGGCCAGGATGGCAGTCCATAAAGTGCACTTGTTTATGTTTGGAATGAGACAAGAAGGGGGCGTGCACTGGGTGACTAGGGTTCTTGGCCAAGCTGGCCTGTGTATGCGAAGGTCTACAACTGTCAGGCACTGGCTCTGAGGTCACATGTAATTTTTTGTGAGGGGATGAATTGCAAATAAAGAATCTGAGAAGAGAAAGTATGGAACCTATTTATCCAGTTACAATACTGAGATCTCTAAAGGGGACACTTGTCCTTCACGCTGTTTGTCTGTGACACGAGACACAGAACCACTGCGTAATATGCAGGATGCTTTAAGAAAAAGTTGTTTGGGTTGGGGATGCGGCTCAGTGGTGGAACTCTTGCCTTGCATGCACAAGGTTCTGAGCTCAATCCCCAGCACCACAAAAAGAAAGGTTTAGCTCAGCAGCATACGCGCCTACCTTGCAAGCAGGCAGTTGTGAGTTCGATCCCCGGTACTGATAAAAAGGAAAAAGACAAAAAAAAAAAAAAAAAAAAAAAAAAAGAAAGAAAGAAAGAAAAGAAAAAGTTGTTTTCCAGGCATGCTGGTGCACTTGTGGAATCCCAGCACGTGGGAGGCTGAGACAGGAGGATCTCAGAGTTCAAGGTTACAGTAAGACCCTATCCAATAAAAAAAAGTTCATTTGAAATCCAGGTTTTCCTGGGTATCCTTTTCCTTTCCTGTTCTTTGCAGTGCTGAGATGAGTGCAGTGCTTCGTCTGTGTCTCTGTATTGGTATGTGTCACCCTACTGTCAGTTTACTGAGTGTTTACCAAGTGTTTACCGGGTGCCAGCGACCGTGCATCCACTGTCCCCTCCCCATAACAGGCTTGTGAGACTGTGTCCTTGCTTCTCCCTGGATGAGCCACCTTGCTTGCCCATAATTTCTTGGGCAATAGTGGAGGCCAGGGAGGGCCTCAATCTGAGGACTCCTAGGCTTGGGTTCCCTGTAATCCATCATGCTGGACTCAGGAGAGGACCTTGCATTCCATGTGGAAATAGAAAAATGACCGACAGCATCAGGAGGGGTGCAGGGCCTGAGGGCTTCCCATCAGCTGAGCCTGGAAGGTGGAGACAGGAAAGGTGGCATGGGCCACTTGTCACCCATTGGCAAAGCTGGGCTCTGAGGTTCTGCAGCGGGGAGGAGCAGGCCAGCCAGGCAGGGCAGGCGGTCAAGCCTGATAAGGCTCCTTAGATGGGCCCAATCTGCAGGAGTTCATTCAGGCTTGGCTTCTGGACTTTACCCCTCAGACAATGGGGAGCCACAGGCTTTTCTGAGCAGGGCTGGGCTGTTGCCCCACTGATTTCCCAAGACAGGCTGAGCCGTGCAGTACCTGAGAGAGGCCACCAGAAGGAGACATTTCAGCAGATTGGACCCAGGCTCCTGGACACTGCTTTTTGGATTGAAAAGGAGGACAGGGTCCCCAGGAAGCACTTAAAGCCAGCATTTTCGAACACAAATAAAGCACAAAGCCTGCGGGACAAAGAGATCAGGGACATCGTCCTGCTCAGCCACTGCAGAGACTTAGGTACTGCCCCAGCTCAGAGGGCGTGCAGGAGAAGGCAGAGTGGGGTCACACTGTCCCATGCACACCAGAGCAGAAGCCCCATCAGCTCCTGGGTCACTGGCATGGAAACTGTGGATCTGAGGAGACATGGACCAGGCTGTGGGGCAAGGAGACACCACATGCTGAGAGGTGGGTCTCCTGAGTCCCCGCGCTGTTCGGGCTCAGAACCCTGTGCAAGGGCTGGGCGCCGTCTCTGGACCCAGCTGTGCTGGGGAGACAGCCCACTCCCTACCGGGGTGCCCACCAAGGGGCCTGGTTCCAAGGATGCTGGCTCCATACAGTCTTCTGGAGAAACTTGGGCAAGTATTCCGAAACAGACACTTAGCAAAGGATTTTTATTTAATCAAATCCTATTTTAAAAAAAAAGGAAAACGACCTGAATGTCCCTGCCTGAAGGATAGACATATAGAACGTGAGGTAGGACAGCCCCACGGGGGAATACTATACGGCAGCTGAAAGGAATGCATTTGGCCATATGGTGGCACATGCCGGGGATCCCAGGTACATAGGAGGCTAAGGCAGGATGATTCCCAAATTGGAGGTCATTCTTGGCAATTACTGAGACCCTGACTCAAAATAAAATAAAAAGATTTGGGGGAGGACCCAGGGAGGTAGCTCAGAGCTCCCTAGATTCAATTCCTCATATGAAAAAAAAGGGATAAAATTTAAAAACTAATGAAGTCAAGGTGCACATGTTGTATGAATCATACAACACCATGTGTGTAGTTTAAAATATGTAAGCGCCTGCCTGGCAAGCATGAGGTCATGAGTTCGATCCCTGGTACATCCCCAAAATAAGAATCAAATAAAATACAAAATACCAGGTATTCGATGTACATATAGCTATGTTAAATTATTTTAAAGACCTCAGAAGTCGGAGCACGTAAACTGTCAGTTCTCTCTGGGACTTTGGTAGTAGATAAGGAGGCCTCAGCATTATATCTCTCCTGCTTTATTTCTTAAATAAACCGGAAGCTGTGTGAATATAGGTGACACTTACATTCTTTTCTCTTGGTGCTGGGGCTGGAATGCAGGGCCTTTGCACGGAGCTGCACTCTGGCCCTCTTTTTGGTTGACATAGGGGCTCACGAAGTCATTAAGTTGCCAGTTGGGTCTCGAACCTGAGATCCTTCTGCCTCAGCCTCCCACAGTGTTAGCATGGCAGCTGTGTGGCACCCACTGGCCTTGGACACCTTTCCATGAGTATTCTTGGTGGCTTTGCCTACTCTCCAAGTGGAAATCAAGGGTGATTCTCACCGAGGTCTTTTCTGTCCCCCGGGCAGGGGTGACCGGCATGTGAAATTGAGCCAACACTCTTCTCTCCTAAACTCCTGTCGCCTACAGGATCGGGAGGCTGCCAGGCATGTCACGCACTGCACAGTGATGCGTGCTCAGTGACAGCTGTGTGTGCCAGCAGCTGCCGGCTGTGCTGTGCTGGGTGTGCATGCGACAGGTACAGGTGCCCCTCGCTGGCACCTGGAAGGCCTCCTTCCCAGCACAGCCACCGTCGCTGAGCCTTATGTCGCTCTGCCTCCCTCGTCCCTCCTCCTTCCTATCTGTCCCTTTATACAAATTGCATGAGGTGCATGTGTCTTTTTGCTTTCTTTTTCTCTTGTTTCTGTTTTTGTCTTTCCACTTGCTGTGCAGTGCAGGCCGGCCTTGGACTCACTGTGTAGCCCAGGCTGACTTGAACTCACAGCAGCCCTCTTGCCTCTGCCTTCAAGTGCTGGGATTGCAGGCATGTACCACCACTCCTGGCAGAGCACCTTACTTTTCTGGACTGATTTTCCCACTCTTCTATCCCTGATTACATCTCTTATAGTAAATGCTTTTATTCTTCCCATTTAAAAGATGAGGAAAGTGACAGAGAAGTTAAGTAGTTTACCCGGGTAACGCAGGCCTAAAATGGCAGAGGTAGATTTAAACCGGTCCTGCAGCCACCAGGCCCTTTGTCAGGACTGACGCTGTGTTGCTGTGCTGTGTTTTAGTGTCTCCTCTCTTATCCTAAAAAGTAGACCAACGGGCTCCCGAGATCCGGCCATGATGGAACTTAGGCAGCTTATTCGCTTGCCTTCTTTGTAAACGCCCATGGCGCGGACCAGGAAGAGAACCAGCGGCTCCAGTGAGCCTACCGGGCTAAGAATTAAGCACCACCCCCATAGCAATTGGGAATAGACGTCTCAGCATCTCTTGCAAGGATGGCTATATGCAATATAGCAAATATGGGGGATTTCCTTCTGTCTTCTGTTTGAAGGCAAAGGTTGTTTTCACTGTTTTGATTTGTTGTTTGTTTTGCTCTATTCAACACTCTGTTTCAATTGGTTTTATACGTTCTGTTTTTGGTTTGATTTCGCTATACCTAATTCACTGGAAATCTATTGTGAAGATAACGAGCTATTCCATAGTACCTATTAGTACCATCCCAGGATCCTACTGTGAAGTTCTGTACCAGTGTCACTGCATTGTCTCGATTGGCTTTGTTCTGTTGTAGTTTTACTACCTTCAAAATAAAATTTTTTTTAAAAAGTAGACCAACGGAACCTTTTGTGTTTTATTTTTCTCTCATCTCTTTGTGGCAGAACCACATGAAGTCTCCTTGGTTCCGAGTTGCTTTTGTCTTGTATGATCCGGTTTCCTGGGAGCTGAAGAAGCTCCATTGGGTCCCAGAAGGAGAGACCTGGCCAGCCTGAAACCAGCTTTCCCTCATCAAATGTCAAAAGGCTTGAATTCCAGGCAAACCAGGAATAATGTCCCAGTCATCAAATTTGAAATCAAACTTCAGTAAGACATGTATTTGCTGCCAGAAAGCAAATAGCTTTTTCTTTTCTTTCTCATTTTTTTTTAGCCCAAACAAAACATCCTCTTATGAAATATGTCTAATTTGCAATATTTACTTTCCCTTTATTTAATAACAGGAAAGGCTTTGCCGGACTTTTGTTGATTTTTGCATTTCTTATTAAAATCCTTAAGGGGGTTTTGGGGGAACTTAATCAGCAAAAAGGAGGAGGAAAAAATCTCATCTGCATTCCACAGGACTCATTAACGGAGGAAGCGGCTGTTTGTCTAGAAGCATTGTCTGGTGGGCAGGCACTCTGTCCCCGGCTCCTTGTGCAACGTCCCTTTCCACACAGCATCCTGAAAGGAAAAGGTCTTCATAACAACTCACTGAGCAATGTAGACAACCTCCCATTTTCGAGGCCCAGAGAGGTAAAGTGACTCGCTAAAGGTCACACAGCTGGATAAGAGCCCAAGGTGACAATGCTGTGAATTTCACTTGTGGTTCCACCAGTGTGACAATTCCTGGCATGAACTCCCTTAAAGTTCTCCCTCTCAGGAGTGTGGTCCCAGAGTGAGACCTCTGTTAGCTTTGGGGCCCTTGCATTTCTGTTTCTGTTCTAATGTAAATACTTATCCGTGTGGGCGTCACGTTGCTACCCAGGCCTGGGCACCCGGGCTTGGGCTAGGGCCCAGGTCACTGCTGCAGCGTGGCATTGCGATGCCACCCTTCCCCGGACACAGAGGTTGCGGGAGCTGGGATCTGTGTGCCAGGCCTGGGAGGCCAGGGAGCCCCTGCCCACTGGGCTTCTGGCCAGCATGAGGCTGTGCGTCAGGGAGAGCTGAGGTCGTCCAGGCCACAAAGGCTCTGCTGGCCTAGCAGGGGGGATGCTGTGGAAGAGACACTCACATGGAAGGCTGTTCTGAGGCTCTGAAAAGCCCACTTAGCAGATGTCGGAGCCAGTGCAGAGGTGTTGGCCAAGTCGGGGGCCCTTCTAGAATGAGGGGACTGGGGACACACAGTCAGTTCAGGGTCACCAGGCAGGAGCCAGGAGTGGTGGTCTGTACCTTGAGTCCCAGCACTTGGGAGGCTGAGGCGGGAGGTTAGCTTGAGTCCAAGAGTTCAAGGCCAGCTTGCATAACACAGGAAGACCCTGTCTGGAGAGAGATGGACATGGAGAGGCGAGGATGGAGGAAAACAAAACCAGCCAAGAACAGTAGGAGCTAAGTGGTGTTCTTGGGAATTCAGGTCCTATCCTGAGGGTGAGGGGACACCAGGTAGGGCTGAAGGGGGTCCAGAAGACCCTGCTGGAGGCCTAGGACAGAAGCAGGAGGAGTCAAGTGTGCTAACCTGCCACCCTGACTCTTCTGCCCCTGCTCCTGGACCCACCTCGGAGCCCCCCCCCAACCCCCAGATGCCCCAACCCCCACTCTGCTCCTGGAACTCGGCTCCGAGGTTGTGATCCGCCTTTGCAGACTGTCTCCAGGACTGCCAGCCTTGAGGCAGTCAGAGCACCGAGAGCTGAGGTGGGGCCGAGCCCTCAGGAGCCTGGAGCCATCGTCCTGACAGGGCCTTCCTGGTGTGGCAGGCCCCCCTCCACAGCCACCTTGTCCCAAGCGGACTCCTAGCTGTGCAGCAGGAGGTGGCACTGGGGCTCAAGCAGAGGAGCCAGGAAGAAGCACAAGGCCAAGGGCAGGGATGCAGATGACAGTGTGGCCGGGTCCCCAAGGGGGAAATGCATGCTAGGGAAAGGAGGGGCAGATACAGAGGCAGGGGAAGCCGGGGACCAGGAGCCCCAGCCCGGATATGCCCCGCCACGCCCTGCCTCGCCCTGATTCCAATCTGACGTTGGGTGGCAGCAGCGCAGCCCAAGGGAGCCATGTGTGCGCGGGGACACAGCGCCGGTCCCCTTGGCAGCCACACGTGCCCTTGTGAATTAGTAGATTAGGAACAGACAACTCACAGAGAAGTAGCAGGATGACTAAGAATCCACCCACGAAAGAGTAAGTGTAAGAGTCCCGTTCATCTTCAGCAGTACTCGGAGAAAGCTACCTTCCAACCAAACCCAGATGGAGTGCAGCCAGCAGCCAAAGAGAAAGCGTTCTCTTTTTAAACGGACCCATGCTGCTAGGAGGTCTCTGAGCAGGGGCGGGGCTCCCGGGCTGCTCTTGGGTAGGAGGTCAGGGCCAGCTGCGGTGGGCCTGTCGGTGTCAGCCTGCAGGTTCTCCACATCCCTCCTTTCTGCGGTGCTGACTTGGAACCCGGGTCCTTGCGCGTGTCAGGCAAGCACCCTCCCCTAAGCTACACCCCAACCCTGCTGCTGCTGGAGTTTCTCCAGCTTCTAGAGAAGGCAAAGGGGGCTCCCCCGGAGGAGCACTGTTCCCCACAGGTGACCCTGCAAGGTGGGGGCAGAGACCCCTCCTCCCTGAACCAGGGGTGGAGAAGAACCAGCTCCTGTCACCTCTTCCTCTAGCCCTGCGACTCTTCCTGACAGCTGCCCACTTGTCCGACTGTGGAGACCAGGTTAGGAGCTCTTGGGAGGCCCAGGAACAGCCTGGGACCCTGCCACCTTGTCTGACTGATGGGGCGTGCACTCCACAGGGTAGTTTTAAAAAGTCTCACTGTGCTGGGGCAGTGGTGCACACCTGCAATGCCAGGACTTAGCAAGACTATCTCAAAAGATAAAAAAGGGCTGGGGACATAGCTTAGTGTACAGCCCTGGTTCAAATCCCATTACTCGCACCCCCCACACACACATCCCACGGATTTAGTTCAACAGTGCTGCCAAGATTGAGAACCAGAAAACTATTAGAAAAATGGAAAATAAGCAACACAGGACAAGGTGGTGCCTTAAGAGCACCATAGGAGGCTCTCAAAAGGCAGCTTCCAGGGCAAGAGCGATCGCCTATCTCTCCCTTTCCCTGGTTCTTCTAAAAAATTGAGATGAAACTTATACATACTGCCAGGATCCTCTGTACACATGTTGTGAAATGGTCAACTCAGGTTAGGAAGGTCACCTGGCATCCCAAACTTCTATCACCCCTAGGTGCCTATCTGTTGGCTGTGATTCATTTACTCGGTGTCAGGGGTCAAACCCTGGACTCACAGGTGCTAGGCAAGTGTTCTACCACCGAGCTGCTCCCAGGCCCTCTGCTAGCAGTTTTATAGTGGATGGCCTTGTCCTTTAGTTCTCCCTATAAAATAAAGACTGTCATGGGATGTGTGTCAAACTCCTATCATCCCAGCATCTGGGAGGCTGAGACAGGAGAACTTAGCAAAAACCTCAAAATTAAAAAGAAAAAAGTAAGAAGGTGCCCAAAGATTAAAACCAAACATCCTCCATGCTGCCACGGTGGAAGGGCTCCCCACCGCAGTAAGGGTCCCCACCGCAGTGACAGCCGTCAGCCAGGCTCAGTCCCCATGGTACTGGCTCCCGAGGCCCTGGACCACCACAGCACGAGACCCAGCTGAAACCGGCAGAGCCGCCACCTGACTTTTCTGGGACCGGGACGCGGGAAGCCTTGTCCTGTGTAAGCAGCAGTTGTGGACCCATGAGTGACCCAGCCCAGGAACCACAGCCCTGCACCCCCACCCAGAACCCATCTCTTCCCTTCTTCAATGTTTACTTTTTATTAGTGCATGTTTGCAGCACGCAGTGATCACATCCCTTGTGCGCCGTGCCTGACACATCTCCACTCCTTTCCTATCCCTCCCCTTCCCTGCGTCTCTCGATCCCTTTCTCATTGGAGGGACTCTATCTCCCTACTTCCCATTATCTTTTGTTTGGCTCTTTATTTGTTCTTTGGGTTTCCCACACACGAGAAGCCATGTGATGGTGAAGCTTGTGCGTCTGATTTATTTCATTCACCACTATAGTCTCAAGCTGCTTCCATTTTCCTACAGAAGACTCAAGATGCCCTTCTTTATGGCTGACTAGCACTCCACCGTGTACGAAGACCACATTTTCTTCGCTCATTCATCTGTGGATGGACAGACAGGCTGCTATAAACACAGGTGTGGCGCATCACTGTATATGCCGTCGTTAACTGTTTTGGGAAGACACCTGGAAGGGCAATCACTGGATTAAATGGAATTTCTAGTTTCAGTTTCTGAGGACTCTCCACACTGATCCCCACAGTGGTTGCACCAGGTTACACTCCCACCAACAGTGTGGATGGAGTCCTTTTCCCTGCAGCCTCGCCAGCATTTGTTATTGGATTTCTTGATGGGGGCCATTCTTTCTGGAGTGAGGTGGAATTTCAGCATTGTTTTAATTTCTCCAGTGGTGAGAGATTCTGGACATTTTCTCATGTATTTATTGGCTGTTTGTACTTCTTCTGGGAAGCGTCCATTCATTTCATTTGCCCACTTTTCCTCAGGTCTTTTATTCTGAGGCATCTAATCTTTGAGTTCTTCACATAGTCTAGATAGCAGTCCCCTGCTGGGGACAGCCTCGGTGTCTTTTCCCACGCTGCAGGTAGTCTCTTCACTTTGTTGGTGATTCGCTTTGCTGTCAGAAGCTTTTTAATTTGGTATGATCCCATTTGTTCATCCTTGGGGCTTCTCGGGCTGAGGACTGACCAGCTCCTTGTACGTTCAGAGTGGGCCCTTCCTCTAACAGCCCCAGGCCCTGCACCTCCTCCCTGAGAGGCTGGGACTATGGCTGCTCACTCCTGGGAGCAGATCGCCGGCTTCCTAAGCACTTGGGCACTGTTACATTTGGCCACTGTGTGGGGGACACAGGTAATGCTGAGCTGACCCCTGCCCTTCCATAGGCAGGGACGCCTCGGTGGGGGGGGGGGCGGAATCTGGCAGGGATCTGCTCCTTCCCTTCAGTCCAAGAGGCCGGCTCCTCCTCTGCCCTCCAGGGGCCAGCCAGGTGCCATGCTGTGTGAACAGGGCTGGGTCTTACCTATCACAGTCTGAGGAAGGACCACAGGGGTGCTGGGTGGGGACTTTCTTAGTCTGGCTCGCCAGGAAGGAGTCCAGTTCAGGCCCAGTGGAGTTCGGAGGAGAAAGGAATTTGTAAATCTGATTTACCAATCCCCACTCAATCCTTGTAATTCCCACTTTAAATGAATGACACCATCCTGTGACCTGGATGATAGGGCCACCCAGGATGTATTCGAGGATCAGGGTGGCAGAGTGCTGGGGACAGTCCTATTGGTGACACCCACTGATGACGAGCGATGCTCACGAATGTCAGGGCTCCAGTGCCCCACACTTAGAGCCGTGGGGACATGACCTCCTGGCACACAGCCTGCTCATCTATGATGCAGGTGACACAAAGTGTCCCCGGAACCCTGGCTGCAATGGGTATGCCCTAAGGCCAGCAACCATGACCCTGGTCCTTGGCAAGGACAAGCTTTTTTTTGGGACCAATGACAAGAAGTTTAACAATGAGTTTACCTAACAAGGTGACTGACACCTCACTTGTTCGCTTGAGGGCAGCCCAACAGGAAGTGGAGGAAGAATGCATAGGGGAGTCCGGGGTCCCCATGCCCAGCAACTGTGGGATTTCTTGTTTTCTGTTTTGTTTTGTTTTGTTTTGTACTGGGGATCGAACTCACCATTCAGTTTTTGATGGTGCTGGGGATCAAATCTGGGGCCTCACAGTGCCAGGCCAGCGCTCACCCTTGTCCACACCTCATGTACTGTTGGTCCCCACTAAAACCAAGCCCTTGCCAAGACGTCAGCCCACTTGTCAGGAGGATGTCAGTCCTCCGAGTTCAATGGGCAGAAGCCCCATCTTCCCACCACCCTCACTCCCATCAGTGTTCATCTCTCCAGAATCCCCACTCTGCCGGAGGGGAGGCCTTGTCTGCCTCCGCCCCTTCCCACTGGGCGTGGTCCATACCTGCTGCACCCCATCCAGCTGGAGCCCAGGGGCACAGCCCCACCCCCACCCTTGTGGGGTGGTGTTGACCTCACCTCGTGGCAGGAGCAGATGGCACTTTAGCCACCCTTGTCAAGTAGGTCTGGGCCCCTGGGTGACAAGAGGGCGCTTGGGGCAGAGGGATTGTGTTAGACTCCATATCCTGAGGGCTAGCTGAGGGAAACAGCGCTCACCTTTGTCACCAGTGTCCCCACCTGCATGCAAGTGTGACACAGCAGGCTGGGCGGGTGTAGAGCAGCAGACCCATAGGGCCCCCACAGC